ATTTCATAAGTCCTCCTTTTCCTCCCCACTTCGTACATATATGTGTAATATAAAACATAATGGCCCAGCCATTGTACCAATTAAGTATTAATAATAAAATAACAGTAATAATAAGCAGACCATAACATTGATCCAATTGTACGACACAAGTATTAATATTTCTCGTTCCCGCTCAATAGCTCGGTCATGACACTTTATTGAGTACATGGCCTTATGCGACTATTTCATAATAGTAGAAGGTCTTATTTGACCCTTTTCTCTATACAATAATAATATCCTAAAGTATATTCCTAGAATATTCTGAAGTATATTCTAATATCCTAAAGTATAATCTATATACTTTCACACTCCCCCTCAAGTTGGAGCATAGATATTTATCATGCCCAACTTGTTACATAAATAACCAACTCGGATCTCATTTAGTGCTTTAGTGAACAAATCTCCAAGTTGTTCTCCAGTCTTCACATATCCCGTAGAGATCAATCCTTTTTGTATCTTCTCTCGAATAAAATGACAATCAACCTCGATATGCTTTGTTCTTTCATGAAATACTGGGCTGTTGGCAATGTGTATGGCAGCTTGATTATCACACCACAACTTAGCAGGCATCGGTGTCTTCAATCCGATTTCACCCAATAAATGGCATATCCATATGATCTCACATGCAGATTGTGCCATAGCTCGATATTCTGATTCGGCACTCGAACGAGAAACCACAATCTGTTTCTTACTCTTCCAGGATACTAGGTTCCCTCCAACAAAGACACAATACCCTGAGGTAGATCTTCGATCATCTTTAGATCCGGCCCAATCAGCATCTGCAAAACATTCTATTCTCATGTGATCATGATTTTGATAGACAATCCCACGTCCTGGTGCTCCCTTCAAGTAACACAATATATGTTCTACAGCAGCCTAATGATCAATGGTCGGAGATGACATATATTGACTCACTACGCTCACAGAGTAAGCAATATCTGGACGAGTGACTGCGAGATAATTAAGCCTTCCAACCAATCTTCTGTATCTTTCTGGATCTTCGAATGGCATGCCTTCTTGAGTGAGTTGCACATTAGGAACCATGGGAGTTGTGCTTGGCTTTGCTCCCAATTTCCATGTGTCAGCTAGTAAATCAAGTACATATTTACGCTGAGATAGAAATATACCTTTCTTACTCCGTGTTACCTCAATACCCAGAAAGTATTTCAATGAGCCTAGGTCTTTTGTTGGAATTGGCTATGAAGAAAATTCTTGAGAGCCAAAATACCTGCAGTATCACTTCCTGTAATCACAATATCATCCACATACACCACAAGCAATGTGATACCTGCTTTCATTCTTCTGTAAAAGACAGAGTGATCTGATTGACCTTTTACCATTCCAAATTGTTCAAGTGATTGACTGAATTTCCCAAACCATGCACGAGGACTCTGTTTCAGACCATAAAGAGATTTGCGAAGTCGACAAACTTTCTCATACTCCCCCTGAGCAACAAATCCCGGAGGTTGCTCAATATAAACTTCCTCCTGAAGGTCACCGTGCAAGAACGCATTTTTAATGTCCAACTGATGTAAATGCCAATCATGAGTTGCAGCGAGTGAAATAAGTAACCTGACAGATGTTAATTTAGCAACAGGAGAAAAAGTGTCAGAATAGTCAATACCATAGGTTTGAGCATAACCCTTCGCAACCAATCGAGCTTTCAACCGAGCAACAGATCCATCTGGGTTAACCTTAACAGCAAAGACCCACTTACATCCAATAGACTTCTTCCGTGAAGGCAAGTCTACCAAATCCCAAGTACCATTAAGATCCAAAGCATTCATTTCCTCTACCATGGCATGACGCCATTCAGGATGAGACAAAGCTTCTTTAACAGATTTGGGAACAGAAATAGAATCAATGGAAGCAATGAAAGAACATGAGGCAGGGGATAACTGGCTATACGACACAAATGAAGAAATAGGATGAGTACAAGATCGTGTACCTTTACGTAGTGCTATCGGAAGGTCAAGATCTGATGTAGAGACATGATCTGAAGAAGCAGGTACTAGTTCAAGACATGAGATCGAGGGCGGACCAATATCAGGATATGTAATCACAGGTGTCACAGGTGGAGGGTGATCTGGTGCTTTGTGTCGACGGGTGTAAACCAAGTGTAGTGGAGGTCTGGGGTCGGTAACGGTAACATGTGGAACAATTACTGGAGGTGTAGATTCCGGTATAGTGACCGTGTAAATGAGTATTTCATCATTCTCCCCATGAATATCTGTCTTGGATGATGAAAAAGGTGTATTTTCATGAAATGATGCATAATAGAAACAAGATATCGACCCGTGCTTGGACAAAAACATTTATACCCCTTTTGAACTCAAGAATAACCCAAGAAAATACATTTTAATGATATGGGGTCTAACTTTGTAAGCTGAGGATTAATGTCTCTAACAAAGCAAGTGCAACCAAATGTTTTAGGAGGAATAGGAAAAAGCTCTTTATTTGGAAATAAGCAGTGATAGGGAGCTTTGCCGTTTAAAACAGAAGAGGGCATACGGTTGATCAAAAAACATGCGGTAGACACGGCATCCGCCCAAAATTGTTTAGGTACATTCATTTGGAATAGAAGAGCCCTTGCAGTTTCTAACAGATGTCGATTTTTTCTTTCAGCAACTCCATTTTGAGGAGGTGTGTCTACGCATGATGTTTGATGAATAATGCCATTTTGAAGCATAAAAGATTTAAATGGGGCAGATAGATATTCTTGGGCATTGTCTCCCCTCAACACACGAACAGGAACATTAAATTGAGTTTTAATTTCAGCACAAAATGCAGAAAAATGAGTAAATAACTCTGATCGACGTTTCATAAAATATAACCATGTCATACAAGAATAATCGTCAACAAAGGTTACAAAATATTTGAAACCAGATTTAGATACAACAGGACATGCCCCCCAAACGTCAGTATGAACAAGATCAAACGGAACGTTTGCTCGTTTATTAAGTCGAGGACTTAAACTAGTACGATGATGTTTTGCAAATTCACACGACTCACATTGTAAAGATGACACCTTATTAAACTGGGGATATATTTGTTTCATTAGTGGGAGAGATGGATGTCCTAATCGGTAATGAGCTTCTAACAAATTTCCAACTCCAAGACAAGAGATACCTTTTGTGATTGATGTATCCAAAATATAAAGACCACCCGACTGATGTCCTTTACCAATAATCTGCTTCGTTAACAGATCCTGAAACACACAGTATTCAGGAAAAAATGTTACGGAACAATTAAGAGAACGCGTGATTTTACTGATAGAAAGCAGATTAAATGCAAAATTAGGAAGACTCAAAACAGATGATAAGGGTAATGTAGAAGTCGGGATAATAGTACCGGATCCAAGAACAGGTGAGGTAGACCCGTCAGCTAAAGTGACACTAGTAGTAGGTAAATGTGAATGAAATGAAGAGAATAAACTAGGATTACCGGTCATATGATCGGTGGCACCTGAGTCAATGACCCATTTCGAGGATGATGAAACGAGACATGTGCTTGAAATACCTGAATTAGCGACTACCGAGATAGGGACAGAGGAATGCTTTAGAGATTCTTGGTAGCAAATAAATTTGGCATACTCGTCTGCAGAAATAGCAATTGATCCATCAAATGAACTCGTAGCGGAAGCAACATGAGCAAGCTGATTTCCTTGATTTTTGAACAGCAACTTTCTACATTTTTTGAGCAACTGCCCGGGCTTCTTGCAGTAATGGCATATTACTCCTCTGCCAAATGGACCCGTAAAAGACATTTTTTTTCTTTTTTTTTTATTTTTTTTTTTGAGAATAAATAAATAAATACAGCTAATTAAGACTTACCAGCCGCAGCTCAATAGATGGTTGGCGAGGTCTGGGTTTCTGACTTACCAGCTAATATAGTGGCGACTCCAAAAATATAACGCAGCCCCTTTCTAATTCAAGCCAGCTCACCTAGTCTCAAATCCCAACCTTTCTCAACAGTCTGGTACGAATAAATAGATAAAATATATACGCAACTCCCTTCCAAAAGTATCCGCATCGCCAACCTCGAGAAGACTGTGGATCCAAAAGCTCGCAGATCGGAAAAATGGATTTGCCTGGCAGAGAATACTCAGGCAACCTAGGTGCCGAATCCGGTTAGAAATCCGGTCAGCTATGAAGCTTCACTCGCCGGCGCGTGCGGCAGCCACGAAAGTCTTCGACGGCGCGTGTGCTTTGCCTGTGCGGACTCCAAAGACGTGGTCGGCGGCGGCAAGTGCAAATGTTTAGGACAGAGGTGAGAAATAGGACAGAGTTGGTCTGGACAAAGGTTCTGGTTAGGGTGTATTGATGTTCTAGAATGAGGGTCTAGACAGAGGTTCTATTTAATGGTGTTTAGAGGTTCTATAGGCAGAATGGTGTGTAAGGTTCTGAAAATGGTGTGTAAGGTTCTGAAGTTAACTCAAGTTCTTGGAGAAAGATCCCAGCCTGAATACTGAAATCAGCCTGAATAAAGAACTGAAATCTGAAAAACTAAACTGAAATGGAAGGCTCTGATACCATGTTGAAATATAAACTACAAACTATAATATTTAAGAGAGGAGGAAAGATTTTCTGTCTATTTCATTAGTTATGTAAATCTCCATAAATATACATTACAAATAGAATATTCCTATATAAGATTCTATACAATAATAATATCCTAAAGTATATTCCTAGAATATTCTGAAGTATATTCTAATATCCTAAAGTATAATCTATATACTTTCACAATCTCTATAATTCAAGTACACATAAGCTAATGAGATATTGGAATCAACACACTGACCGAGAAGAACATGTCAGATTTTTGGGTACTCTCTATTTTGTGATTATTTTATTTAATCCACTTCAGTGCACTAACGTTTTACACAATGTTAGCATGATTTTTAAAGACAAGTAAAGGTTACTTATCCAGGGCATTGAGGGGCTAAGAACATTGAGAGGCAATGAAAACGCTAGTTTGAAATATATTGAATAATATAGCAGAACTTATTTTGCCAACAACAATCAATAATATCTGTTTTCAGTTTGCTCAAATTAATTTTCTTAAGATTACTAATTTTAGTATCTCGACAACGTCATCATTAGTAGCCTCCTTAAGCACTTTAATTTTTTCTGCATTTTCAGAAAACGCAGTTATCGTATACTCCTTTTGAGCCGTCATGCTATTGTTTCTGCAGTTCCCAATTTTGAAGATCAATTCTCTATCAATGAGATCCAAGATGTCATTGGGAACCTCAGAAGGTGATAAAGTGTCCTACATAAAAGAAGAAAATGATTGATGTTATAACATGGACATATTGTTAATGCTAGAGAAAAATGAACATGATAAATTAACAATCTTCCATGCTAAGACAGTCATTTAGTTCATTTGCTGCTTTCCCGATTAGCTTACATGACACATCATCCCACATGACTACTTCAGCAAAACGGTGACCATGTCTGACACTCAATTTCATCATGTATCTCCAAACACCTGCCTGTTTCACCTATCAATGAGATCCAAGATGTCACTGGGAACCTCAGAAGGTGATAAACTGTCCTACATAAAAGAAGAAAATGATTGATGTTACAGCATGGACATATTGTTAATGCTAGAGAAAAATGAAACATGATAAATTAACAATCTACCATGCTAAGACAGTCATCTAGTTCATTTGTTGCTTTCCCGATTAGCTTACATGACACCTCATCCCACATGACTACTTCAGCAAAACGGTGACCATGTCTGACACTCAATTTCAGCATGTATCTCCAAACACCTGCTTGTTTCACCTCTCGACAGTTGTAGCAGTAGAGTGACGCTCCCTCATATTTCAACTTCTTAAGGCAAGTCTTGGCATTGCATCCCAAATAAGCCCAATTCTTTAAGGAGAGAATTGAACTAATTTGAGCATAAAACCAGCAACCCTTAACGTAAATCAAAATGCTTAATTGTTAGCTCCAAAGAATAACATATTTAAATGGGAAAAGTGTCAAATTGTCAAAATATGTGGCAACAACTATAACTTCAGAAGCATCATCAACCATTCACACTGGTGAATATTATTATGTTTTATGTATTCAGTTTGTGATTTCAGATAGATTTTGTTTGAACTAATCAAGTAATAATCAAGGAAATAATATAAAATATCACCTCTTTAGCTGTCTCTAAATCAGAAAGAGACATAGTAAACCCGACATCAGTACCAAATACCTATATGTGTTCATAATTCATTCATAATTTAAATATAAATCATAATTTGAACACATACAGTTAAGTTACGAAGATCAAAGAAAACGATCATTACCGGTAGCGGAAATCCTCAATATCTGGAATATGATCATCCAAAAATAAATTTGTAGCATACCATGAGGAAGCAATTCCAATCTTATCCCCTACATGTCAAAAACGTATACTTTAATGAGAATAAACAAACATTATTGTAATTTTAAAGTAACAAATAGTTATACACACAGACGCACCATATCTTTGGTTTCTGCGGCACGACTGGAGAAGAAATATAACTGGATCTTTTAAAGCAGCATCTTTTGAAGTAGGAGACAAAAAATTCTCGACTTGTAGGACATAATCACAGTAGACAGTACATAACACACTCTCGCCCCTTCATAATAGTACATTCAGAGCGTAAATATAGCAAGAAATTTAAATATTATGATAAATAATTCATGTATAATAGGCAAGTGATAATTTAAAGGAAACTTAACTCCAAGTTTTTCAGGCGGAAATCAGCATACCAATCATATTTTTTGGTTTTTTGCTGTATAAAAGTTTGATCCAGATCATTTGATTGATTTAACAATATCAACTATAGTGCCTTTAAGTAAATTTCAGGTGCAGATTAACAATATCTGCATTCATTTGATTTAACAATATCAACTATAGTGCCTTTAAGTAAATTTCAGGTGCAGATTAATCTGAAGCAAACAAAAGCACAACTGCATATAATTATTGGGCGTGTTTTAATTGAAAAAGTACCTATCAAATAGGGATCTTGACTGCTTTCTGGGTTCTGAATATCCGTGAAGCTAGAAATTCTGAACCTAGATGGTGGAAAACTAAGACCGATTGTTTGTTCTCGATGCAGAAATTTGGTTAATGGAGTAAACTCAAAGCGGTATGGATGGCCAGTGACCCTATATCTTCCTTCGTTATTCTTCACATCTGGGTGCGCGATAGCATAAATTAATCCTTCTTGAACATATTCGAATTTACGAATAAGTTCAATTGGAATCGTCGCTTGAATTGTCGTACTCTAGTAAGAGCATTAATAATGAATTAGTACTTTAAATTACCTTCAAAACTATGAAGAAGTAAGCAAATTAAGATTAAAATGAGTAAGGTTAAAAGGTGAAACAAAAACTGCATGAAAACTCAGTAAGAGCGCATGTAAAAATTATAAAGGTTCAGAGTTAATTAATAAAATGCTGAAAACAGTTTGACAATTCATCTTGGAATTCTCAAGTAATGTTAGTATTGTTACTCTTTTTTTTTTTAACAAAATTCCCACAATATCAGAATTAAGTAAAATAGATAAAATCGGCACAATTTTTGGATGAGTTTAGGCCATATGATTCAGCAGCTTAATGGTGTTTATTCTGATGGGTAATGTTACTCAGTTGGTAGGTTAGCACAATTTTTTTATTCTGAAACAATTCAGTTCATACTTTTTGGCAATTTGCAATTTTTTTTTACTTCGAGTTATTGTTGCTACTTTGTTTATAGGTGAGGTAGACTAAAACATAAAGTAGAAAAGGATGATTCGGTAACCTTTTCATCCATGAAAATCATTTCAACGGATTTGGTTGTTGGATTTTTCGATCCAAACTTCTCATTCCATTTTCTGATGACCATCACCATAAAAGCAGTACCCTTTGGTAAGGTCAGAACAACATCTTTCAGATACTTTTCCGTAGGTGCCATTGTTCCTAAAAATGAAGTGGTTGAGACAGATAAAGACATAGTATAAATTACTAAAGAACAATTTCAGTAACACTGGGTAAATAAAATTTAACATCTACAATAATTACACATTAATATGGATTCAATAAACTGAATAAATTAAATATAAGTACCAGAAAATATTTTTGAATCCACTCATCGCAGGTTATTTGTTCAAAATTTAGCAACACAGATAGGCATAAGATCTGCTTTCATGTTTCACAAAATTATTGTTTTAAAAAAAATATAATGAATATAACACATAAAAAAACTTGTTTTCCACCAATGTGTACTATCCTTTAGCTTTATATACACCAATAAAGAAATCACAGTAATATAGTTTTTGTTGAGAAGAATCAGTTTTTGTTATATATATTCACCCAATGTGTAATTCTTCTTATATTGCAATTCCTTGTGAACCAGAAATCATTTTTTTGTTAAACATATCACTCACTCAATCTATATTCTTATTTTATTTATTTTACTTGGTATTGTAATTAAAAGAAAAGATACGCAGTTGTTTACATAAATTAATATAATAACTACTTAATTTGTAATTGTCGAAAATAAGAGCAAAAACGGAAGAACAAAATCAGCTGAGGCGTAGCACGCTGCAAGCGTGAGGCGATCAGAAAAGGTGTTTATATAGATGATACGATTGCTCGAAAACATCTATTAGAAATAGGACTCTATAATAAGTCTATCTCACGTTAGTCTCCAAGTAGAGATATACTCGTACTTGGTAATAGTAATTCTATTTATTATGTGGAAGCTCTATCATAAATAAGTATTACAATTTAACAGTTTTTTTATCAATTTATATAAATGCCATCATTATTACTGACAGGCCATCATCAATTAGTAACTCATAAATCACAAAAAAAACCGTGATTAACATAAACTAATCATTAAAGAACAATTTTAGTTAAACTGTGTAACTAATACAGAGGAAGCAAAATTATTGGAATCAACACACTGACCGAGAAGAACATGTCAGATTTTTGGGTACTCTCTGTTTTGTGATTATTTTAATTAATCCGCTTCAGTACACTAACGTTTTACACCATGTTAACATGATTTTAAAAGGCAAGTAAAGGTTACGTATCCAGGGCATTGAGGGGCTAAGCACATTGAGAGGCAATGAAAACACTAGTTTGAAATATAGTGAATAATATAGCAGAACTTATTTTGCCAGCAGCAATCAATAACATCTGTTTTCAGTTTGCTCAAATTTATTTTCTTAAGATTAATAATTTTAGTACCTCGACAACGTCATCATTAGCAGCCTCCTTAAGCACTTTAATTTTTTCTGCATTTTCAGAAAACGCAGTTATCGTATACTCTTTTTGAGCCGTCATGCTATTGTTTCTGCAGTTCCCAATTTTGAAGATCAATTCTCTATCAATGAGATCCAAGATGTAATTGGGAACCTCAGAAGGTGATAAAGTGTCCTACATAAAAGAAGAAAATGATTGATGTTATAACATGGACATTGTTAATGCTAGAGAAAAATGAACATGATAAATTAACAATCTACCATGCTAAGACAGTCATTTAGTTCATTTGCTGCTTTACCGATTAGCTTACATGACAACTCATCCCACATGACTACTTCAGCAAAACGGTGACCATGTCTGACACTCAATTTCAGCATGTATCTGCAAGCACCTGCCTGTTTCACCTATCAATGACATCCAAGATGTCATTGGGAACCTCAGAAGGTGATAAAGTGTCCTACATAAAAGAAGAAAATGATTGATGTTACAGCATGGACATATTGTTAATGCTAGAGAAAAATGAAACATGATAAATTAACAATCTACCATGCTAAGACAGTCATCTAGTTCATTTGTTGCTTTCCCGATTAGCTTACATGACACCTCATCCCACATGACTACTTCAGCAAAACGGTGACCATGTCTGACACTCAATTTCAGCATGTATCTCCAAACACCTGCCTGTTTCACCTCTCGACAGTTGTAGCAGTAGAGTGACGCTCCCTCATATTTCAACTTCTTAAGGCAAGTCTTGGCATTGCATCCCAAATAAGCCCAATTCTTTAGGGAGAGAATTGAACTAATTTGAGCGTAAAACCAGCAACCCTTAACCTAAATCAAAGTGCTTAATTGTTAGCTCCAAAGAATAACATATTTAAATGGGAAAAGTGTCAAATTGTCAAAATATGCATGTGGCAACAACTATAACTTCAGAAGCATCATCAACCATTCACACTGGTGAATATTATTATGTTTTATGTATTCAGTTTGTGCTTTCAGATAGCTTTTGTTTGAACTAATCGAGTAATAATCAAGGAAATAATATAAAATATCACCTCTTTAGCTGTCTCTAAATCAGAAAGTGACATAGTAAACCCGACATCAGTACCGCCATCTCTCGGAGAAACGCAAGATGAAGTTGTCTGGCTTGAAGTACACTTGGTGGTTTGCCTTGAAGCCAAATACCTATATGTGTTCATAATTCATTCATAATTTAAATATAAATCATAATTTGAACACATACAGTTAAGTTACGAAGATCAAAGAAAACGATCATTACCGGTAGCGGAAATCCTCAATATCTGGAATATGATCATCCAAAAAAAACTTTGTAGCATACCATGAGGAAGCAATTCCAATCTTATCCCCTACATGTCAAAAACGTATACTTTAATGAGAATAAACAAACATTATTGTAATTTTAGAGTAACAAATAGTTATACACACAGACGCACCATATCTTTGGTTTCTGCGGCACGACTAGAGAAGAAATATAACTGGATCTTTTAAAGCAGCATCTTTTGAAGTAGGAGACAAAAAATTCTTGACTTGAAGGACATAATCACCGTAGACAGTACATAACACACTCTCGCCCCTTCATTATAGTACATTAGAGCGTAAATACAGCAAGAAATTTAAATATTATGATAAATAATTCATGTATAATGGGCAAGTGATAATTTAAAGGAAACTTAACTCCAAGTGTTTCAGGCGGAAATCAGCATACCAATCACCTTTTTTGGATTTTTGCGGTATAAAAGTTTGATCCAGATCATAAGCACCAATAATATCTGCATTCATTTGATTTAACAATATCAACTATAGTGCCTTCAAGTAAATTTCAGGTGCAGATTAATCTGAAGCAAACAAAAGCACAACTGCATATAATTATTGGGCGTGTTTTAATTGAAAAAAGTACCTATCAAATAGGGATCTTGACTGCTTTCTGGGTTCTGAATATCCGTGAAGCTAGAAATTCTGAACCTAGATGGTGGAAAACTAAGACCGGTTGTTTGTTCTCGATGCAGAAATTTGGTGAATGGAGTAAACTCAAAGCGGTATGGATGGCCAGTGACCCTATATCTTCCTTCGTTATTCTTCACATCTGGGTGCGCGATAGCATAAATTAATCCTTCTTGAACATATTCGAATTTACGAATAAGTTCAATTGGAATCGTCGCTTGAATTGTCGTACTCTAGTAAGAGCATTAATAATGAATTAGTACTTTAAATTACCTTCAAAACTATGAAGAAGTAAGCAAATTAAGATTAAAATGAGTAAGGTTAAAAGGTGAAACAAAAACTGCATGAAAACTCAGTAAGAGCGCATGTAAAAATTATAAAGGTTCAGAGTTAATTAATAAAATGCTGAAAACAGTTTGACAATTCATCTTGGAATTCTCAAGTAATGTTAGTATTGTTACTCTTTTTTTTTAACAAAATTCCCACATTATCAGAATTAAGTAAAATAGATAAAATCGGCACAATTTTTGGATGAGTTTAGGCCATATGATTCAGCAGCTTAATGGTGTTTATTCTGATGGGTAATGTTACTCAGTTGGTAGGTTAGCACAATTTTTTTATTCTGAAACAATTCAGTTCATACTTTTTGGCAATTTGCAATTTTTTTTTACTTCGAGTTATTGTTGCTACTTTGTTTATAGGTGAGGTAGACTAAAACATAAAGTAGAAAAGGATGATTCGGTAACCTTTTCATCCATGAAAATCATTTCAATGGATTTGGTTGTTGGATTTTTCGATCCAAACTTCTCGTTCCATTTTCTGATGACCATCACCACAAAAGCAGTACTCTTTGGTAAGGTCAGAACAACATCTTTCAGATACTTTTCCGTAGGTGCCATTGTTCCTAAAAATGAAGTGGTTGAGACAGATAAATAAAATTTAACATCTACAATAATTACACATTAATATGGGAATCTACATTTTAAAATTTCTATTATTAATTATTAAAAATTATAGTAGTTTACCTATATTAGAATAATCAGTAATCATTAATTATTTTCCCAAAAAAAGTAATTATTAATTAATTAACTGCAGCTCGGCCATCATTTTAGATTAAAAAAACATTCTAAATACATTAAAAGAGCAATAAATTACATCTCACATTAAAGCATCAAACAAATGTGAAAATCACAAAATAAAGAAAGGGTAGCTCCACCTGGCGATCTGCTACAAAATTCAAGATGCCGTGTCATCATCATAAATGTAGAATCTCAAATACCTATCATTTTTTGGGCTCTTCCTGATATCCTTGCACAGACTACACAACAATAAAAGCTTTACATTAGCAACTATTGACCGATAAGTATGTATATGTAGTATTTATTTGTATTACACAATGATGATGATCCTGATGATGATTATATACTACATAAATTATGATTTAGGTGTTTTCTTTTTGTAGACCAAATGCTTTAGGTATAGACTATAGACCAAATGTTTACCTACGAAATGAGGAATACACAGAATGTCTTTAAAGCAAAATACACACTGTTTATTTTAAAATGAATACATGATCCTTGAATAAGGAAATAGTAATGGGAGCTTGATCAAATACTGACACATGATACGGGTAGGTTGATCATATATATATGAGCATAAATAAACTAACAACTAACACTGCAATGTAAAAATATTGTGTGGTCATCAATGATTCAAATAATGTATGAACAAATAACAAATAATTCCATCAAAGAGTAAGTGATCATACCTGCGGGAAAGTAGTGAACAAATAACAAATTATTGCTACAATTGCATTTTCCATGTATGGTGATAACGGACATACATCACTGCTATCCATATCAGTTTGCATACAAAAGAACATGATAATAAGACGATAACATCACTACTTTTATGATTAACAAAAACATCGAAATGAGAAGCATATGAGCAGCAAACCGAGAACACCAGGGGCAAGTGAGAGCCATAGTGCAAGGGTATTTCTTGTCAAAGTATGAACTGAGAGCCATTTCAGTCTACAAAATAAGTTCATATGTAAAACTGTTTTGATATACCACAAGCTGTAACTAAAAATGGCAAGGAGAAGTTTGAAATGGAAAAGCTTAGCTCAGGGAAAAGGACCGATTGCTCTTTGTGGGTGCTATACCGAGGCCTGAGGTGTGAGGCACCTATGGCTTCGAACTGCGAGGGTGATTTTATGAATCTCCAACAAACAATACTTTTAGATATGTCCCTGATCAAGTTCAAAATCTGAAAAAGCACATATAAATTGATCTACTTTCTTTTACATTTTTCATTCATCTTTTTTTGTTTTTAATTTTTTTGCTCCCAGCAAGAGTCCTATCAATGTGAACAGTTGAAAAAACAAATAGAAATAAAAGTAGACTTACCTTATTTTTCGATAGAAACGCAAAAAAATTAGGGTTCATCATTTTAAATTCCTTACAATAATTGACCAAACATCATGGAATCTGCAAATTAAAAGAATGCATAGATTAATTATAGCAGATGTGCTACTCAGATGCTTGGTATATCATGAGAGGCAATTCCAGAAAAGCATTTCAAAGCTTTACTGGAGCGATTTCAGTCTACAAAATAAGTTCATATCTAAAACTATTTTGGGCGTACCACAAGCTGTAACTAAAAAAGGCAAGGAGAAGTTTGAAACTAAAAAAGGCAAGGAGAAGTTTGAAATGGAAAGGCTTAGATCAGGAAAAAGGACCGATTGCTCTTTGTGGGAGCTATATCGAGGCCTGAGGTATGAGGCACTGATGGCTTCGAACTGCGAGAGAGATTTTCCCTTCTATTGCGGCTGTGACAGGCAGAAGATGCTTGTCCATCTCTTCAATTGCAGCAACAATCGCCAATCTGAATGTGGATCGGAGTGTGGAAGCCAGAAGAAGTAAAAGAATAAATCTTCCATGGAAATTGCAAGAGGTGTTTGGTGTTTCCGGTGGTACTTGAAATTGGAGTGTGCCCTCCGGCTGAACACGAGAACAGAAGGCAGAAGGAGAGAATTAGGAGCGTAGTGTTAGGCAGAAGAGAAATAGGGCGATTAACAAACGTCAGAAGAGAACGATAAGGTGTTTGAGAAGAAGAAATTAAGCAAGGGAAGGAGCTTACCTCTGAATCGCAGCACAGATGAGCGAGATACCTTCAGAAATGGAGAAGCTGTTCGGCCAGAAGAAAAAGAAGCTGTTAGGCAGAAGAGAAATAGGGCGATTAACAAACGTCAGAAGAGAACGATAAGGTGTTTGAGAAAAAGAAATTAAGCAAGGGAAGGTGCTTACCTCTGAATCGCAGAACAGATATCTTCTCAAGCAGCAAGACGTCAAAAGAAGAGAGCGATTATTTTTTACGGCCTGTTGTATGGTAAGCGTTGACAGGGACCCCGAACCCGGAAGGGAAGGTAAAATAATACGGAGTAGTTTTTTTAAGGATTTATTTGAATAATAATTATTATATATAGAAATAATAGTGGATGTAAAATAATAGGTATATTTGAAAATAGGTATAATTATTATATATTTGAAAATACTTTCGTAGTAAACCAAAGTTTTTTCCCGGAATAATGCTAAATAAATAAATAATTCCCAAAATACTGCCGGGTTAAGAATAATTCCCAAAATACTGCTGGGTTAACCACGGTTAAGGAAAGCCGCCACTTCGAGTGGCGGCTTTTGTACATCTTCACAAAAGCCGTCACTCGAAGTGGCGGCTCTTGTACTGCTGTACAAAAGACGCCACTTCGAGTGGCGGCTCATTTATCAACACAAAAACCCCTTTCTTCCCCAATCGACGAAAACGTCCGACGAAAACACCTCCCCCTGCAGCAACCGACGAACGCAAACAGCTCCTCGGATTCCGGCCAGATTTTGTCCAAACGAAGCTCAAATCAAAGGGAAAAGGCTCGTGGTGTACCCGAGGTCGTTTGTAATCCATTCTTGCGAGTTGCTACAGCTTGAATAGAGGTATTCTACCATTTTTGCTAAACCTAGGTTTTTGAATTTGTTGTTCGAAATTACTTGGTTTTTTAATTAGTTTCTTTGTATTTGATGTTGTGAAATGTATAAGTTCTTAATGTAGTTATTATTATGCTTGACTTTATATGATTTGTTAAATGTGAATGATACCAACGTAACTTCCACCATTTTTTGCAAGCTAGGTTTTTTAGGTATTGCTCCAAATAGCTTGAAATTGTTATTGTTTTGTTCAAAATTGTTGTTGAATTGCTTGAAGTTGTTGTTGTTTACTTGTTTATTAACATATTTTGATTTTCTTTTACTAATTAAATAATGCTAATTAATCATGTGTTAATTTGTTGCCTTTTCATCAGTCCGCATTATTAACCTGATTAATTATTATGAGTCCTTATTTAATGGTGTAAAATCGTAATATGTATCTACGATCTAATAATTTTAGTTTGAATTATAGTAATTGTATTTGAATTTTCAAATAGCGGCATACGTCATAATTTTTTTGGGATGATTTTTTCATAGAATATGTCTAGAAACTTCTCCATTATTTGTCAATGGGGAGGAAATATTATCGAGGAGTCAAACGGAGTTCATTATGAAGGAGGGATTCGGAAGATAATTGTTGTTTCCCGTGGGGTGGATCTTGCTGAAATAATGAATAAAATTTATGCTGCCACATCCATCAATCGTATGAACAAGCTGGATTTGAAGGTTAAATATCCCATGCATGGTGGATCATACATGTTGATGCCTCTTGTTGACGATGAAGCCGTTACAGGAATGTGGACTGTAATTGAGAATCTTAATATGCATACCATGGAGATATATGTTGAAGAAGTGGCGGTGTTGCCCATACAACCCAGCAACCCACCATTGTCTTGCCCATCCACAAGTGTTCCAGTTGTGATGAATATGGTTACACAGGAGAACGGAAGATACGTGAATAGTGATGCAACGTTTCTGGATTCACAATACAATGATGATGATGCAGATGAAAATGTGAACCATGACACACTAACAGATTCAGATGAAGATGGTGGTGATCTCGTAAGTGGCAATGCACCATCCAGCCACTACACTAAAGTTTATGAGCTCCCTGCGGGATTTGATGAATCATGGAAGGGTGGTACAACTTCTAGTCGTTTCTCTGCAGATGGTGAATTTGAGGTTGGGCATGAGTTTGATGATAAGAAACAACTGATCAACATGGTTAGAGCATACTCTGTAAAGAGGAACCAATTTTTCACAGTTGTAGAGTCTGACAAACACAAATGGGTGGCAGAGTGTAAGAGGAGAAAAGATTGTGGTTGTACTTGGCGGATCCGGGCTACTAAGAAACATGAGAAGCTAGATATGTTCAAAGTTGTTCGTTATGCAGGTCCTCATATACCTACTTGTGTAGGTAACGTCGATAACAATGACCATGTTGGTATCACATCTCAGTTCATAGCCCATGAAATCATTGATCTTCTTCGTACCGATCCATCACTAAAAGTCCGCACTATTAGTCAGCTTATGAAGGAAAGGTACGGCTATATACCTTCGTATAAGCGAAGTTGGTTGGCTAAACAAAAAGCCATCGGTGATATATTTGGAGATTGGGAGGCGTCGTATTCTGAATTGCCTCATTTCATGTTGGCATTACAACATTCCAATCCAGGGACAGTCGTGCATTGGTACCCACCTCTTTCAGGTACGAATGAGTTATTAATATCATTATTGTATCACATTATATTTAATTAGAAATTTGTCTCTTAATTTTCTCCATCTTTCAGGTAACACTGAAATTCAGCAGTTTCAAAGAGTTTTTTGGGCATTTAAGCCATCCATTAAGGGCTTTAAACATTGTCGTCCCTTACTAACCATCGATGGAACACACTTATACGGGAAGTATAAAGGTACATTGTTGGTGGCAATGGGTAGTGATGCTAATAATCAACTGTTCCCTTTGGCGTTTGCTATATGTGAATCGGAGAATGGAGAGAGTTGGCCGTGGTTTATGGCGTGCATACGCCATTTTATCACACGCAGAGAATTGTGTGTTATTTCAGATCGACATGCTGGAATTATGAAGGCTTTTAATGAGGTAGGTGGTGGATGGGAGGAGCCAGATGCACGACATAGGCTTTGCATACGGCATGTCGCTTCTAATCTGCATACTCAATTTAAAGACATTCACTTGAAGAATCTGTTCATTTGGACAGCAAGTCAACGTCAAAAGAAAAAATTTGATGGTGGATTTAACAAGATAGGCGAAATGCAGGCACTAGCACGAGAATATCTAGCGAACATTGGCTTGGAGAAGTGGTCTTTACACCACGACGGGGGGTACAGGTATGGCACTACAACAACGAACATGGCTGAAGTTTTCAATAGTGTCATGAAGAGTGCACGATACCTGCCTGTAACCGCGTTGGTTGAGTTATCATTTTATCGTGTGAATGCCTATTTTGTGGAAAGAAGAGAAACTAGTAAGAGAAGATTAGCAGAAGGGCATCGCTACTGCCATCAAGTGACCGAACTGATAGAGAAAAATACGGAAAAGGCAAAGCATCACAAGGTCACAATATTTGACATAGGCCACGGTTTATACCAAGTGGAGACCGGTCGTGGTGGATGAACCCTAGGGAAGGGTGGCAGAAAACAAACGGTGAATTTGCACCGTCGCCATTGCACATGTCAGAAGCTGAATATTTATAAGATTCCTTGCTCACATATATTAGCGGTATGCAGACACCGTAGTTTGTCCTATGATGCTTTTGTTGATAAATTTTTTTCTTCATCGGAGTATGCGGCTTCCTATAAAAGAGTATTTAAGCCCATACCAGATATAGCATATCGACCAACTTACACTGGACCACGAGTTGTGCATGACCCGTCGATGATTCGCGCTAAAGGTCGTCCGAAGGCTAAACGATTGAGAAATGAAATGGATGAAGGCCCTAAAGGTACTGTGAGATGCGGTAAATGCAAGCAAATAGGGCATAACAGGACGACATGTGCTAGAAGATCAGAGGGAAACGTAGGGAGTTCCACTGGGTAATGTTGTTCTTTTATTCGCAAATGCATTAACAACATTAAAAAATAAATAATTTTAATTTAATAAAAAAATAAAGTAACTAATGCACTTATTACTTTTACAGCGCCGATGCAGGTGTCAGTGGATCCCGGACCGATTGATCCTTCAGTCCTGACATTGCAGGCCACGCACCGGAGCGAGGATGTGTGGCGTGGCCTGGATGTTCAGGTAGATAGGTGTCGTGAGCACCTACGCAGTATATTCCACATGGGGGTGGACGATAGGATTCTACATTATGTTCGATTAGCTGGGTTTTATGGTGTTCACAGATTGGTTTCGACTCTGCATATAGATAGAGCATTACTTACCGCTCTACTTGAGCGTTGGAGACAGGAGACTCACACGTTCCATTTACCGGTGGGTGAGGTCACGATCACATTAGGAGATGTGGCTGTATTGGCAGGTCTACCGATCGAGGGTCGGGCAGTTACTGGGACTGCGTGTAGACTATGGGTTGATTTGGTACACAGATTGTTGGGAGTACGGCCACACCCAGGGACAGATATTCGGGGGTCCGCCTTGAGGATGGCTTGGTTGAGAGAGCATTTTGATGGTTTACCTGCTGATGCTGATGACGATGTTGTGCAGCAGTACGCGAGAGCCTACATTCTGATGCTTATGGGAGCGTCCACGTTTGCGGACAAGAGTGGGAATGAGGTGCAGGTCTTGTATTTACCCATTCTGGAGTCTTTTGATGTAGCTGCAGTTTATAGCTGGGGTAGTGCCACTTTAGCATACCTATATCGGCAGTTATGTCGAGGTTGCCATCATGACGGTGGAGAGATGGGTGGATTTGTATTGCTCATACAGCTATGGTTGTGGGAGCACATTCATATAGGCAGACCTGTCATTCTGCGATATCATGGGGTACATGCCGGTCCTCTTGATGATGATATGGATCAGCACGCTTTACTTGGGCCACATCACGTTCGTGGCGATGATCCTTTGGGTCGTAGGTATGTTTATGATTTTTTTGGTATGATGTACGTGAATCCCTTTTATATTCTTATACATTAAAATGTGTCAGATGGTTATTTGCTCATGTCACGCGCACATCATCCGCTGCTGGATTAGGATACTACCGAGATGCTTTAGATCGCTTGTGTGATGATCAGGTATATCATTAAATGTAAGTACTTTGTTTTATGTTTTCTTAAACCATGGTCTAACATAATTTTATATTATAGATGACGTGGATGCCGTACACTGATGAGATTCTAGGGCTGTTGCCTCCTGTTGCCCGAGAGCACACTGACATATGGCGAGCACGTGTGCCTTTGATATGTTTTGATGTAGTGGAGCATCACTTTCCTGATCGCGTACTACGCCAGTTCGGGTTGCAGCAGGTTACTCCTGGACCTTGTGATACATATGTGGATCTGCACAAGATTGATAGACGGGGGAAGCACACAGAAGATTGGGGGATGCGCCATATTCAGTATATCACTATGTGGGAAGAGAGAGCGGCGTATATAGTGGGCGGGATCCCATCTTTAGTGCCCACAGCTTCTGTAGATTACATGAGATGGTATTACACCATCACAAGGGTGTTTATCTCTCCCAGTTTTCGTTTACCCACTGATCATTACCAGCCTAGCTCAGTCGCTCTTCATATGACGGTAAACAATATAGTCAATCAAATATCTTTATTTATTTATTCTTGTGTTTTTCACTAATAACCATGTTTGCATTACAGACACAGGCTTTGCGTAGCATCCATGACAGAGCGACTGCTATACTTGATGAGGCGGTAGATGTACAGGGATACCATGCCGCTTGTTCAGGCATTGTTTCATTGTGCGCTGATGTATTGGGTCGAGTCGATTATGGATATATGGCCGCCTCTCAGCATTCCACTACATCTACATCCGCAGCAGGGTCTTCTCAGGCAGTCCGACGTGATAGAGTTGTTCTTCAGCCTTGTAACCAGCGCAGGCGTCCCCGAGCACAACTACATGAACTTCATGATGATGATGAGCACATTGAGTTATGATATTTGGGTTTAAATTATTGTGTGAAGGTTGTAGTATGCACTGGCAGATCGAATCATTTTGTGAAACACCAGATTTATTATAAGTTCTATGGTTTATACTCAATTTTGTTCTGCATTCATTGGGTTTGTGAAAGTTTCATAATATGAAGTTTCATTCATTCGTTTTGCATTTTGGATGTATGTTGTAATGTAGTTTCATTGATTCGTTTTGTGTTTCCGATGTATTTTGTCTTAGTAAATCATATGTTAGGTTGTTTTTTTTAGTAGAATGTACTGTGAGTCTCTGGTGAACAGATTATCTGGGTATTATAGGTGTAGTTGTGGTTATTACAGGTTTAGTTGTGTTAATAATGCTGCAACAGGCCCGTTAGCACAAGAGCCGCCACTCGAAGTGGCGGCTTTTGTACAGCAGTACAAGAGCCGCCACTTCGAGTGGCGGCTTTTGTACATCTTCACAAAAGCCGCCACTTCGAGTGGCGGCTTTCCTTAACCGTGGTTAACCCAGCAGTATTTTGGGAATTATTCTTAACCCGGCAGTATTTTGGGAATTATTTATTTATTTAGCATTATTCCGGGAAAAAACTCAGTAAACCATACAAAAAAAATTAAAAAAACATATGTTTATATTTTGATTTGCTCACAATCTGCATGAGTCAACTCACTTAACATGCAACCCGTGCAAGTTGACTCACGGAACTAGTGAGTTCATTGGGTAAAAAAGTGACAACTCTTACCCACCGTGAAATGGGTTGAAATGGTTAGCCCTAGGGATTTCGACTCATTTTGACAAATCTATCCACAATCAAGTCAATTTTCTTTTAAACTCTGATTGACAAATTCACATACAATTCATTTGTCTTACAATTTTAATAAAAACTTTAAGTGCATATTTTGCCGTGCGGTGCACGGGTACACATACTAATACTATATACTCCCTAGTATATACTATATACCCTCACGAAATCCATATTATGGACTTCAATGAGAAGCGCGCATTAGTTTAATTAATGGACTTGTTGGTTAAACGAAACATCATTACAACGCACTTTTTTTATTGAACCAAAGTTTTTGAAATATTTCTAGGCACAATTCAACTGATAAAGAATGGCGTATACTCAGTGAGGAACCAGAACTATTTTTGAGGGGTTGCTGGAAAATACAGAGAAAGAAAAAATATAACTTGAACTAAATTAAATCGGGTTTGATCCGGTATATTCAATTTTGATCTGATTTGATTTGGTCTGTTCTGGATAGGGGTGGGGAAAAATACCAAAACTTCGGTATACCGGACTTATCATATCGAAAAATATCGAATTTACCGAAATATTAGGTATACCACCCTTTTGGTACAGTATGATACCGTACTGAATTACTTCGGTATGGTATCGGTATATATTTTGGAAATAAACGGTTTACCGTATACCGTCATACCGTAATTCCAAGCCAATATTTTCCTTAAAATTGTAAAAATAACTATAAAGTAGAAACATAACACTAATCGAAGGGTAAATCACTTTATATCCATGTTTCTTGAATTATTTATACTTTTTAATGGAGATTGGTGTTATTTTAAATATATTTATGTTGTCCAAATTGTTTTGGCAGAATGTGTTGTTATCTTCATATATCATATGTTGAAATATCTATACATATTTATAATGTTGTTTGTTCAAAGTTGAATAGAACACAAATGGGTTATCTCATTGGCATTTTATAATTAATTTCATTAATGATTTTAGTATATCACTATTAACACTGCTTTTCTTTATTTTATTTGACATATACGGAGTAATAATTTGTCATATTAAATAATGATAATTTACCGATACCGTACCTTACCATACCGAAATTTCGGTGTACCGAAACAAGTATGTATATTTGTATATACTTCATTTGGTAACAGTATGTATATTTGCATATCGAAAGTTTACGGTATATGGTAAAGATATGTGATAAAATATGCGGTATGTCGTACCGAACCACCCCTAATTCTAGAACAATAAGTCCATATCATTTCCAAATGAAGTATAGTGTACCGTTGTTCTCTAACATATAGTTCAGAAAATATATTTGTAACTTCTCTAAAAAAAAATATGAAAGCTCAAAAGAAGTAAATTACTTCTTTCGTCCCGCAAAGAATCTAACATTTTCTCATTTTACCTTTTCAATTTATCTCACTAAAATTGTCTCATACCAAATTTGGTAAAATTTGTGTGGTTCTAAATTATTCTTACATTATTCATTAAATATCAAGCATATAAACCACTTTTTATTGATTTATATGTCACTCTCATTTGCCCTATGGTTAGTGACGTGGGACGAAGGCGTAACTATTAACAAATCAACTACTCTCTTCGAACACGATCTTTAAAAACAATCAAGACCAAAAATAGATTTTCATAGGGATATGGAACATATATATCCCTCAATTATGTGATAGAACACATATATACCCCTCATCTATTTTTTAGTACAAAAATCTTGCAAAACTAAAAATAAGGGCCAAATATATCCTTTCCTTTACGTCATGGCATTTGCCGTCAAATTCCGTCAATCACAATTCGACTCCGTATCATTTTTCTTCACAAATGGGTTTTGAACACACTTTATTAATCCTCTCAAACGATATACACTGTAGATCAACTTGTCAATTTAGGAAACAACGTACTTCGTACTAACTAAAATATCTAAACTAATTGTCTTAAATGGGAGTAAAACAATCAGAAAATTCCAAAATAAGAGTGGTTACTGATTTCTTCCTTGAATAGGAGTATGTGGTTGACCACTCCGTTCGTTTTACCAATTATACCCTTATTTGCAAATTAATTTGTTTTATTTTGTCAGATCATTTTCCTTTCACGCAACCTTCAGAGGCCTTATCCTCTCTTTCCTTTTTGCACTGCCGCTTCTGCCTCTCTCCTCTTCCATCTCTCCCCTCTAAAAAAATTCTCCGGCCATTTCCGATCCTCGATCTCTATTTTTCACCCACTCTGATAACCGGCGGACGGCGATAATCATCACAGGTAAGCTTTGATCTTTCTTCTCCTTCTCTGCCTTGATCTCTTCTTCTCCTTGGTCTTCTATTTCTTCTCCCTTCTCTTATTTGATCGGCGTCGTAGCCTGTTTTTTATTCCACCTTGAAGTTGCTAGTTATTGGACAACCAAAATAATAATCCGTAACTTTCACCTTGATTAATTTTTCTTCCACTTTCTACCATCTTTCCAGATCTGTTTTTGTTTTTTTGCTTTCTTTTCTTGATTTTTTTTCTCTTTCCATTTTGTTTCATTAATTTCGAGATTGTTTTTGGGTTGAATATGAATTTGCCGTCGTTTTTCTTTCACCTTTTTGTTTTTTAACTTTTTATTTTCTTTTTTACATTAAGTTAATATTTTTTACTTTCATGTCGATCAATTTTTTAACTATTCAAATTAATTTTATGATTTGAATTACAAGTAGATATAATTGATTTTAACTTTTTGACATTGAAATGAAAACATTACTTCTTTGCAAATAATGCCATGTTTTCTACGTGAAAATATTATTTTGACATTTAGTGTCACTTTTATGGTGGCATTAACTCTTCTAGATGGCAAAAAACAATACCAAAAATGCCATATTTTTTCATATATAAAAAAGTAAATTTTGTCCATATTGTCATTTATATGGCACTAACTATATAGTGATGACAATATTATTTCCCCTACAAATCCAACATTTAAAATGTCAATAAAGTGTCAAGAAGACACTAACATTCATATCCTCTTTTTTTATTGTATAAATCTTAATAAAAAAAGATTTTTATGAGATGATATTCTAAATTAGTTTTTACAGATCTGAGATATGTAATGGTGGAGTAAAAAATGGTGGTGGTGCTAGAAGAGGTATGAGGCTGTGATGATTGACCAATGGTGACCCGCGACTGGTGGCAGAGGCACTTGACATCTTTGAGGCCGGCAGATGAGACGATAGTCGATAGTGATGAAAATTGCGGCGGCGGCTGGCGGTGTCCAGCGGCGTCTGGCGGTGTCAGGCGGCGGTAAGGGGCAGCTGATGGTGGCGACTGGTGCAGGTCCTGTCCCCTGGATTCGTCCGGCGACAACAAGACTGGAGTGGGCAAGAGGAGAAAATACGTCGTTGTTGCAAACCCATTAAACTGGAATTCATTTATTTATTATTCTATTGTACTATATAAATTGGAATTCATTAAGGGCATTCTTGTAATTTCCGTGTGGCAAACTAGAGGTGGGATAAGAGTCCTACTTTTGCACAATGGATATGTTTTACTCCTAAATTAGGAATTCTCTCAAAATATCTAAACAGAAGCCACGCCCTCATTTCTAGAGAAATTCATATTCATTGAAGAACTTATCGTTTCTGTGAGGACCTGCATTGAACTTGTGACTGATTGTGATCAACATATAGGAGTGCGAGGATGTTCAAAAGTCTAGGGGTGGAGAATTATCATGAGTCTAATCTTAAAAGAAAATTGTAAGTTTTTTCTGTCTAAACAAACATGCGTTAATGCGTAGTCATAATAATAATAATAATAATAATAATAATAATACTCGTAATATTTTAAGACGTTTATAAAAATTGTAAAACTCTCTTCTATCAAACCAATTATATTATGAGGCGGTTTGGTGATTTTGTTTCTCGGCTTATCAGATAACTTTTTCACCAAATACATAACTTTTGATTTCGCGTGCTGAATTGTGTAATAATCAAAGTATGTAAGGTTGAAGTTATAACTTTTATGGTTGCATTGGCTGAAATTAATGCATAGTACTATTTTAACTATTTTTCATCTATTTTTGTTTTGTTTTATTAATTAAATATATTTTAATTCCCCCCATAAATCGGCATAATCAGCCAATACAGCCAATTAAGCCAGAACTTCATAAATTTCAGCAGAAACATCTGATTCAGCCAATTTCAGTTTTAGGAAGGAAAAATGATGATCCTATTTCAGCAGAAACTACAATTAGAAACTTCACCTCAAGCCTTCAACATCATTAATCGGTGACTAGCGAAATTTCAGCCTCCTCTCCATCAAGCTTAAAACATATAGTTCAAATCTCAATCCTCACAAAAAAATTGCTGCCTCGGTAAAAATTTATGGGTGTAGCCGTTGGAGATTATCTTCCTAAATTGGAAGACTGAAGAATCTGCCCAGTCCGTCCTTTAAAAACACAGCAGCACCGCAGCAGTGGGGAGGAGGAACGGAGGGGAAAACGGGAGAGAAAGGAAGAGGAATCCAGCCGCTCCTTCATTGATCGTCTTCGGTTTTTCATTCTCTTTTAATTAGTTAGTTTAATTTCAGAATTTCTAGTTTTTGTATTTCAATTTCAGAACTTCTAGCTTCATGTTTATGCTATTGAAAAGTGATTTCTTCTTTACTTCAAGTATGATTTTTGGCTAGAATTTTATCCCGAGGGACTCGGTATTAAAGCTTGGTATTAAGTGACTATCTCTTGTGATTGGTTCTTCCATTGTAATGGACAGATTATTTTTCCAATTAAATTTATTTTATGAATTTCATTGATGAATTTTGCATTGAGCTCGTGCTTAATTCTTATGTTAGGTATCGTGTGATGCACTGACGGGTGAGGCATGATACTTGAGCCCATAAAATAAACATGATTCACCTATACTAGACATAGTTAGGGAATTGTGGTGAATTTCAATTGTCGTTTTTTGACTAGTTAAGTTTAGTGTTCAATTGACGGATTAGCACTAGCTTAACCGGTACGCGCTAATATCTCGACGGAGTATTGGCATATTTTAGAACCAATTGTCACTTTAATTGCTTGAACCAACACTGGGATTTTCTATTAATATCAAGTGTATAACCCGAATCCACAGGCTGCCACGTCAGTATAGCCACCTGCCCATTGGTGGGTATAAATAGAAGCATTTATTTCATTGTAAAGGGTTGACAACTTTCTATTCTTAGCATTCTAGCTTATTTCTCTTGCTCGCAGCTGAGATTACTGCCTAGCGAGACGAACGGCCGACGTGCCTTTTTTAGCAAGTAGATTGTACTTAGGGGAGTTATTACGGAGTTAATAATACCTATTTACATTGCTTGCTATATCCTCTGCTTCCTGATCCATCTGATAGTTGTTGGGCTAGATACTCACATATTCATACACTCACTCCACTCGAAATCTTCGGGCTTACGTGTTGGGCCTGAGGGTTGAAGGAATAAACCTCAACAGAAACTTAAACCATTAGAGTTCAATTTGCGCTCCTTGAGGGATCGACCCTAGAATACTCTAGGTTTTTACTACGACCGATCTGTACACTTGCAGAAAATAGCGGTCACTTTTCCATTGTCTTATTGTACATAGCGCCGCTTTCTCTAATTTTCTCAACATTTCCCTTTATTCTATCCAGTTTCAATCATTTTTATTACACATTGAAATTAATTAAATTTATAAATTTAATTATAATTAAAAACTTTTGTCCATCAAAACCAACAAATCATATCACCAACGCTCGATAGATAACAATCAACAATTAAAAAATCATACAATCAACGAATAAAATCAATCAATGAACAAATCAAATTTTGTGTGTTCTTGAAAAATGTCAACTTCCGTTCAAGAATACATATCATAACGGCAGAATTCGAATCAGAGGAATAGAGGATGTTGGATAGAAATTAGAAAGTTAGAGTGAATTCAAGCTTGTGGGACTAGGAAGTGATTTTTCCAACAGTAGAAATTAGGGGTGGGCACGGTCCGGGTCGGTTCGGGTAAATGATAAATTTTCAAGAACCGCCGGGTCCATTTAACGGGTCAGTTCGGTCCGGATTCTCAATTCTTAAAAAAATATCGCTGCACTATCAAAATATCTAGTAGGTAATACAAATTTTAAACTAATTAAGTATCATTGTCACCGTAATATAGTAAATATTCAAAATAAAAACAAAAAACAAAATTTTGAATTAGTTAACAAAATATCTAACCACAAATATATAAATAAATAGCACACAACTACAAAAATCAAACAACACCAACTTTGAAATGTAGAAATTAGACATCATAATCCATAAAGCAAAATGGCTCACTAAATCCTTTTTTTTTATAATGCCTTCATGCCTTATGGCTAGCCGGACTAGCGGAAGAATAATCGAAATAGTCATTGATTTATTTGAATTATTTCATACTTTTGAACTTCCTCACCGTTGCCATTTTCAATAGCCTTTTAATTTATTTTAATCTTTTCGAATATGCTCCGTATATTGTATGGCTCCGTTAGTTACTTTATGGAGTTTAAATTGACGGAGGGGTATATTTATACCGAAAATGTTGTTTTGATAGTTTTTTGTGCTAAAATAAAGATGAAGGGTATAAGTGCTCACTAAGGTATAATGAGAGGGTATATTTGTACCTTAACCCATTTTCATATCCTAAATTAGCCATTTCATATCATTTGAATTTGAATTACACGACAATATTTTTCCTACTATTTCTATATGGAGTATTAGAAGTGTCACTGCGCAGTGTGTATTGAAAATTGATCACGTGTGTATGACTTTACAAATCACAAATAACAAAATCATACTATCATTACACACAAATTCACTGATTTCCATTCAAGTAACCAAATCAATTAGGATGTTTTTACTTGGACTATAATTTGTCTCAGATCAGACCTGAATAGTTATAAATATACAAAGAAACCAGACCCGACCAGACCAAACCAATCCAGTTCAGACCAGACTAGCAAATTACAGTCTAAGTAAAAACATCCTTAGACCATTAGTCCTCATAATATAAATGGCCTTACTAGCTAGTTGCAACACATTATTTATGCACCATAGTATATTTTAGGGATAATTTGACTTTGTACCCCATATTTTGAGTGATATTTGACTTTGCATCCCATTTTCAAAATCATTAATGTATGCACCCCATCAACCCAAAAAATGTGAAGGAATAGGGTGCAAACTCAAATGATTTTATATTGAATTGAGGTGCATACATTAATGATTTTGAAAATGGGGTGCAAAGTCAAATAACACTCAAAACATGGGGTGCAAAGTCAAATTCCCTGTATTTTAATTAACTAAAGTAAAATATACACTCAGCGGCAAATTAATCAAAGGTAAAATGGCCCCGCTGACATATTTTTCTGCATACTCATTACGCCATACTTCGTATATCACATGTCATGATGTCAAATCCAAATTTCTTAAAATGAAAAGCAAAAACTATTATACTATACTTCGTACTACGTATAACGTAAAAGATTTTGAATGAAAAAAACACTCTGTTTTTTTCAGAGAAGAGAACGATGACCAAAACAAAAACTACTTCAGAACAAATACTAGAAGCCGAATGGCGAATGGAGATGGTTGTGGCGCGAAGTACTCTGGTGCTACAGATCCAGCAACTTATAAAGAATGGCTTGTACTGAACAAATCTAAGCCCGAACTATGCCCACCACTAATATGCAAAGAAAACAAGACCAAACAAAAATCAGCATTTAACATATAGAATCTGAAAAACAAACACAGAATGTATAGGAAGTTAAGAACACTCAATATCCAGTCAAAATTCTTTGCAAGAAACAAAACTACTACAACATCGTAAATAATTGATCATATTAATTCATGAAAGCAGAGGAAGATATTCTAGCATTCTTTAAGAACAAATCTGAGCCCGAACTATGCCCACCACTAATATGCAAAGAAAACAAGACCAAACAAAAATCAGCATTTAACAGATAGAATCTGAAAAACAAACACAGAATGTATAGGAAGTTAAAAACACTCAATATCCAGTCAAATTCTTTGCAAGAAACAAAACTACTACAACATCGTAAATAATTGATCATATAAATTAATGAAAGCAGAGGAAGATATTCTAGCATTCTTTAAGAACAAATCTGAGCCTGAACCATGCCCACCACTAATATGCAAAGAAAACAAGACCAAACAAAAATCAGCATTTAACAGATAGAATCTGAAAAACAAACACAGAATGTATAGGAAGTTAAGAACACTCATATCCAGTCAAAATTCTTTGCAAGAAAAAGAACTACTACAGCATCGTAAATAATTGATCATATAAATTCATGAAAGCAGAGGAAGATATTCTCGCATTCTTTAAGAACAAATCTGAGCCCGAACTATGCCCACCACTAATATGCAAAGAAAACAAGACCAAACAAAAATCAGCATTTAACAGATAGAATCTGAAAAACAAACACAGAATGTATAGGAAGTTAAGAACACTCAATATCCCGTCAAAATTCTTTGCAAGAAAAAAAACTACTACAACATCATAAATAATTGATCATATAAATCTGGAAATTAAAGCAAGTAAACTAAAAAAGCATTACCTCAGTGATGCTCTTTATGGTCGTGAGCCCCGATTGGATGTCCTTTACACACTCCAGAATCTCAAGAATTTGTTTTCGTCCTTCTGCTGTGGTAGAAAAGCAGAGAGATGCTAAGAGGGCAGCTCCGCACAAAGCCCCTCCACATAGAGCCAGCCCAGGCGGTGTGGCGGCGGCGGGTGGGGAGGATGCTGCGGCACTTGATGCGCTGTCATGTTGGCTGGTGGTTAGGGAGGCCAAACCCATATCTTTCTTTGTTTCCTCCGGTCCGGCATAATAACAGCGCCCGTGTCTAATGACTTGAATGAGTTGATTTTCATCTTGTTTGAATGTTTCGTAGTCTATGTTAGTCCAAATTTCATTCCTGGGAGAGGGAGGCAGTTCCTGTTCGTGCATAGTTGCCAAAACTATGCGACCATTTCTTTTAATAACATCAAAAGTGGACTGCTTCAGCACCTCTAACTTCATCTGAATTTCAAATTCAACAATATTAATGAACTTAATTCTTACACAAGAAGAAAAGAAAAACCCTAACCAGAATAAAAGTTTCACAGAACATTAACGATCAACAAAATTCTTACAGTGTTTTGACAACTGCTGCGCAATATAGGAACAGGAAATGTTTCAACGGCGGAAATGTTTCAACGGCTGCGACGACGAAAAACCCTAACAAGAAGAAAAGAAAAGTTCACAATGTGGATCTTGAACGATAAAGTTCAGAGAACATTAACGATCAGCGAAATTCTTACACTCTTTCGTCCAACTCCTGAGCTAGATATCGATGAACACGAAATGTTTGAAAACACCGAACAAGAAGAAAAGAAATGTACAGAGTGTGGATCGATAAAAGTTTCAGACGTAGAATGTGGATGTTAGATAGTTTTTTTCTACCCAGCCATTCTACTCTATTTCTGGGATGCGCGCTATTATGGACTAGCTTGGTCCGCAGGAACATTGCTTGGGTCTATTGAGAGTAAATGGTCAATTTTGTCCTCCAAGTTGCATAAAATGGGTCAAATAAGTCCTTATATAGGAGGTTCTATCCGGCAGTCGCCCATTTGGGGCGATTCCCGGTGGAATATTTTGATGAAATTTGTTGAGCATCTTATTCATTAAGTCTAGTTCACTCATACCAAATTTCAGATAAAAATTCAACCAGGAAGACATTCAAATGAATTCTTGAAGATAACTGTGCAGTTCAAAACGCTTTTATCTTCAATAACTCATTTGAATGCCTTCCGGATTGAATTTTTAGCTTAAATTTGGTATGCGTAAACTAGACTTAATGAATAAGATGATCAATTTTTTTTTAAAAAAAAAACCACCGTGAACCGCCTCAAATGACACGTCCGGACAGAATCTTCTATATAAGAACTTATTTGAACCCTTTTATGCAACTTTGAGGACCAAACTGACCCTTTACTCGTCTATTGACATGGGTCCCAACTGTTAGCCAACTGCAGGAACATTGCTTGGTCCGCAGGGATGCGTGCTATGGACTCGCTGGTTTTGCCCCTTGGTCTTCGCCAACTCTTTGGCGGTAAATTAAACCGTACACCCGAGTATTTTCGCAATTAATTACAACTTCAATGTTTAAGGTCTTCCCTATTTTGCTGATCGTTGATGTCCTGGAATCAGTGAAAGAGACGCAGACGCCGATCGATGTTGCCCGCTCGCTGAAGTCCAGGAGTTCTGATCGGTGCTCGACTGCTCCTCGCTCGCTGCGCTGATGGAGGAAGTCTTCTCGCTGGAGAAGGACGTACGCTGTGGGCTTGTGTTTTAGTTCCAAGAGAAAGTCTTCCTCCGTACTTTAGTTCTTGGAATCCCACAAATTTCAACTTCTATTTTAATAATAACGTATTTTAATATATTTTAAAATTGTACGTTAATATTTTCAACTTATTAATTAAACATAAGTTTTATGTTATATATTGAAAATGAGTACAATGTTTATAATAAATGTGTACAACGGTTAAAAGATTTGAACATACATAATTGAATATTTGAGCACGTTAAAAAAATTAAATGAACATACACAAATGAAAATTTTAGCATACTAGACCATTCAAATGAGGTACACAAATGAAAACTTGAGCGTATTGTTGATTTTAAATGTGCTTTTTGAATTCTTGGTTGCTCATTTCATAAGTAATGTATGCTCATTTGGTAGTAGTACAATGCTCATTTTAAAATGTTGCACATTTCAAACGTATCATATTATATTATCTTAAACTCAAAGAGAATAAAGCCAAAAATGAATGAGCATACACAAATGAGGTTTTGCTCATTTTGTAAGTTATGTGTGCTTATATTATGTGTGCACGTTTCAAACATATCATATTAAATTAGAATCACATATTAAAATTAATTGGAATTGATTAAAGACATTATTTTAGAATTTTTATAAACGAAAAAATAATAAAAAGAAAATGAATTAGAATATATGAAGCAGAATATATGAAGCAGAGAACACGGATGCTCATTCTTGGAATCCTGGTACTCAAAAGAACAGACTTGATGCTCAACACAATTGTGTTAATGGTCATTCAAGAGAAGTCATATTTTTCATCAAAATTGCAGAAATGCCACCGGCTGTACGACTGGCACCGTACAACCGGTGGTATAGTATACGCACTCCTCTTTGGCCGGCTGAAATAAAAAAAAACATATTTTAACAAAATTCAAAAAAAAAATCTTTATTTCAACAAGTACATACTACTACATGGTATTAAAATTAAAAAATAATTACATAGTAATGTACTACGTAGTAAATAACACAATAATGCATATAGTAGTACATAGTTTAATTTGATTGGAAACTGTATTTTATTTTAAATTAAGCTTAAGCTCATATGTGTATTTTAACATTTACACACACAAAACAATTATTTTGTGTATTTTAAATCCAAATGTTTAATTTTTTAAATTATAATTATTTGTAAAAACAAATTATTACATAAATTTATGTGTGATAATAAAAGTAAAGATTTATACATTTATTTAAAAAAACGGTGTTGGATGAATATATTGACAGTGCTGGATCACAGAGAAAATTGATTGACCGAGTAAAAATGTATAAATTGGTGGCAAATTTGATATATTTACAGAGCCGGGTTGCGGGTAGCCTTAGGAGGTAAAGTTTTATTTGATTGAGTTTTAAATATAAAATTTAAATGTACTACACTACTATGTAGTATTAACTTTTTAATCTCACTCTTGATCAGCACCACGATCGCGGACGTCTCCCTAGGTTTCTAGGGTTTTGTTTCTTCTAGTGCCGATCTTCTATCTCGATCGCAGAGGGAGGGTTCGTGCGCTTGGCAGCGTGATCGATCGACTGAGACTTTTGCTTTTACTGTTGTTTCGACTTTGGTGGAAACAATTGTGCTTCGTTTTTCTTTTTACTTGCAGGAGGCCGGGAGATTTCCCAATTTCTCGAGAATCAGGGAGAAGAACTGGTTTTTGAGGATGAGGTACTTGAAGAGGAGGAAGACTCGGCCAAACAGGAAATGTATCCGGTGATAGGGACTGTGATCACAAACAAGATGGTGAGATTCTCAGTGCTTCGTGATCTTATGGCCTCTCTGTGGATGTCGGGTAAGGGGATCTCCATTAAGGAAATCGACGACAAAAGGTACATGTTTACATTTTATCACCATTTAGATGTGAAACGAGTACTTGAAGATGGACCATGGATTTTTAAACAAAATTCGCTAGTTCTCCAGGCACTGCAACCTGGGGATGTTCCACTCCGGGTCCCTCTGAATGAGGCCGAATTCTGGATTCATGTTCATGACATTCCTTATGATTTTATGAATTTGGGGGTGGCTAGGAGAATTGGAAAATTTGTCGGAAAATTTGTCAAATGGGAAAAACCTCAGCTTGATAAAAAATGGAAGCCGTATATGAGAGTTCGGGCTTGCTTGGATGTTGGAAACCCCCTTAAGATTGGAACCACGCTAAAAAAGGGACAGGGTGAAGTACACTGGGTTGACTTTAAATACGAGAAGTTTCCTAATTTCTGTTTTTCTTGTGGTATTATAGGACATTCTGACAGGTATTGCCCTCTACCCTATGAGAAGGAGGATTGTGACACCACTAGGCCGTATGGGGTCGGCCTGCGAGCTGGAGGAGGGGGGAAAGCACGTTTGGAGGGAGGAAACAAGTGGATCATCTCGGAAGGTCCTAGGAAGGGTAGTAGGGCAGTAGGAGGAGAGGGGGGCAACTCGGGTCCGAAAAAGAAGGGTTGGAATCATATTTCAGGTAGCAACAAAAAGAGCGGAGGAGAGGAAGCAGAAGTTGCAACCATGGAGGATAAGAGTGGAGAGCCAAAACGTAGGCGGACTTGGGAAGAGACTGGCGGAGCAGCGGTCGAGGGTGAGACTATGGTGCTGGATCCAAAAAACGGGGAGAAGGCGGGTTCAGGCGCCCGCTAGACTTTTTGAAGAAGGGTTCAGCTGGGAGCGGGTGCTGGTGCTCGTTCCTTTGCCTCAAGATTCTTTATAATTTCCACGCGTTTTTTATTTTCGAGTTTACTTTTTGCTCTCAGTTTGTGTTCCTTTCAATTACTGTTGTTTTATGTTTCCAGAGTGTTACACTTGGTGGGGGTGATGAGGTATTTACTCTGGTCACGTTTGGCTCATGTAAACTCATGATAGGATCAGCGAATCATATTGCTTTTCTTAAGGTGATTGATTCTTCAGCTGGTTTGAGGGTTGATGGTCAGAAGTGTTTACTTTGTCATGATTGTCCCGTGCTGAGTGTTTTATTATCAATATAAGCCTCCTAGTTACAAAAAAAAAATCTCACTCTTGGGTCTACCTGGATAAATTTGAGATATTAACCAAGATTGCAATTCGAGTATCTAGATTAGTCAAGATATTTACGGAATTGGGTAAGTTTTAGATACTTGTTTCGAATTTTCACATATCGGTATCGACTTTTAAAAAATTGAACACTGAAAGCACGTATGTGTAAGAAGTTAAGAACTAAGAATCGTTTGTTTTTGGCAAACTAAGAATCAATTTATTAAAAAAAATCGTTATACACATTAACACACGCAAATTATACCGTGGGATCGGTACACCATGAAACCCTGGTCAATAGAGATTTCTTTGCCCATGCTTATTATGTTAGCCCAGGATTCAGGGAAAGAGTTGCAGTACTTTCTCTTACTGATGCAACGAATTGGGAGATTAAAGATTCTGAAAATTTGACTTAATCTTCCTTCTAATTTTCTTCGCTCCCTCTTTTCTTCAACGATCTGGAACTGAGGCTTGAGCCTTTTCCTTTGGTTTTACAGTGGCGTATGCATACGTATATTATATATGTATATGGTTTCATGCCCTTGCCGACTTTGGTATTGGAAAATTTACACTTTGAAGATGGTTGTTATAAACTATTTTAGATTTTCCTTAACTTACATCTCACGCACACTAAAGTTACATCACTTATACCGTGAGTTACATGTCAATTTTCTTAACAAGTCACATCATGTTTACATATGATTTTCATTTTCCAAAACGTGTGTTACACCACAATCTAATGCGGGTTACACGACACAATAAGCCCCTGTTATTCAAATAAAAATTATTTTTATAAAAAAATCCTTTTTATGGCCCTGATATTAAAAACAAAACATATACATTATTTATGTAAAATAATTGGGCAATTAGACTCCTTTTTTCATTCAAATCAAAATTTTATATCTTATATTATGTATTGGACAAGTTACACTTCGACTGGTGACATGCACTTTGTCGCGGTGTGCACTCAAAGTAATTAATCAATACAACACTAATACGTAGTATAGTGTAGTAAGGTTCGTATCCACATGGAAAGAAATTCTTTTCTTTTTATAGAACTAGTAACAAAAAACGGGGGGGGGGGGGGGGGGGTTATGATTGGTTGATGAACTTTGAATTATATTTAAACACAAAGATGAACGACTTATGTGGTTTAATTAATGAGAAGAAGACTTGACTTTGCTGTTATCCACTTAATGAAATGTTCGTCGATCCCGGTTATATCTTTAACTATCTTCCTCTCGAATACTCAATCGAGGAGTATATCCAATTCATTAGGGTAGTTATTAATAACGAGACGCGTTCATTCATAAAACTTACTACCGAGTTAATATAGAACACGCGCTGTATATTCACTCGATGGTAGCAATAAAATCAAGATGAAAACGTTTGAGATTGATAACTTCAACACAAGCGGTTTATTGGTTTAATCAATATAATTTATTCCCCTTGGTTTATTAACCATGAAATGCATGCATTAATAACCCAAGTTTACTACCGTGAAAAGACCGAATTAATCACAAGCGTATTAATCGACCGATTCTAGTAATAATTAATATATGAAACAAAACTAGTTGATCCTTTAAGCAATGCTCAAAATATTAATATGGAATATGAATAGGAATTAATTAATATTCAAGGAAGAAGATTAAAGAAAATAACTCACAACTTACAATTCATTAAGCTTCAAAGTAGCAAAACCAAGATTGAAGAGTTTAGCTCCTCATTTGGAGACTAGACATGAAGAAAATACAAAGACATAACTTGTCTAAACTGAGCTTAGAAGTATATAGGAATTGGTGATTTGTTGTGGAAGAAATGGGGTGTATTTATAAGCTTTTAGGCTTGCAGGGTCGTGTACCTGATCGGGCTGTAAGGGCACTCAATCGGGTGCTCGGTTGATGCGCAGAAGTGTAAAAAACTGGTGTATACCCGATCGGGTATGTCGGCCACCCGATCGGGTATGGACACTCGATCGTGGTCAAAATCTCCCATGCATGTTGCCTTGTTCCCGGGTTGATCCGATTTGATTTTTCAGCGAGTTACCCGATCGAGTACAGGGCATACTCAACCGGGTACAATACCAAAAATCAGGATCTTCATTTTTTTTTTTTTGGAATTTTTGCACCTTCCTTCCACTTGTGATGTTCACCAATGGTCCCTAGAGTGATCTTGGACCTGTTTGAGCTCAGAATAAACCTAATGTAAACAATTTACAAACATTTTACAAACTAAACTATTACACCAAAAGTGTGTAATTTCCAACGTACAAATCGATCTAAACTAATTAAAAGTACAAATATAAATATGGAAATAACATGAATGTCAACTGGACTTAACTTACATTCATCAATGATGCGAATTACATTTATTTACACACGAGGTACATCATTCTGCTATTGGAACAAGAAAAAAATTAAAAAAGAAGTACTGTACACGCGTGTATTGTTCACACTTCGTGTGGAAGAGTAATCTTGTATTATCTTTTCCCCTCATCTTTTTGTTTTTGTTTTTTATCCTTATATCCTTATATATATAAATTTATTATATCTTTTTATTTTATCATATTTAGGTATATTCATCTCTTTTGCTATGTTGTAAAAACCGGAACGGTGAGCGACCCGGTCATGTGACTGGGTCACGAGTCAACCCGGACCCGGAGGGTCAACCCGGTCAAAGCCGGAAAACCGGTCAACGATTATATGTGTATTAATAATAATAAACATATAATTATATACACTCTCATTATATATTTTTATTTGTATTGTACATTTATATTATAATTTGGCATGATTTTCATTCTTAAATAAATATATTACATAGTTTTTCTTTTTAGGAAATTGAAATTGCAAGTTTATTGGTTAAAAAAATGCATTAAAATTAAAACGAAATAACTTTTTTTAAAAGACCGAAAACAGTGTTTTCTCGGGTTTTTTCGGGTTTCTTGGGTCCGGGTCCGGATTCAGATTTTTTCGGGTCAGCCAGTTTTTTCCGGTTTTGACCATTTTCGGGTTTTGAAGAAACCGAACCGGATTTTTGTCTGGGTCACCGGGTTCCGGGTCAACCCGGCCGGGCCGGTTTTTTAAATATAGCTCTTTTGTATGTTCTTTTTATAATAGCTTATCTTTTTATCTTGGCTAAAGGGTCAAATAGGCCCTTGAACTGACTTAAAGTGTTCAATTAGCCCCTTTATATAGGAGGTTCTGCCCGGCCGTCACCAATTGGGGAGTTTCCCGGTGAAATTTTTTGATGCAATTGTTTGAGCATCTTCTTAATTAAGTCTAGTTTACTCATACCAAATTTCAGCTAAAAATTCAACAAGGAAGGCAGTCAAATGATTTTTTGAAGGTAACTGCGAAGTTAAACAGCGCAGTACATTTCAAAAAATCACTTGACTGCCTTCCCGGTTAAATTTTTAGCAGAAATTTGGTATGGATAAATTAGACTTAATGAAGAAGATGTCAAAAATATTTCATCAAAACGGGCACATTTTTTAGCAATGCGGACATCGGAAAATACAGGGTCCAGTCTGCAGGGGGCCATCGGAACGGGCACAACCAGACTGGTAGAGATTATGCCGGTGAGTGCTGCGTAGGTTCATAGAGAAACACCAGGCAAACGACCGTCCAATACTACTCACAACGAAGCAGAAGCTAGGGCGAACATCCACGGAGCGAAGATCCAACCTGTGACTCAGCAGGGTCCCGTAATCAATAATCGGGCTGACAGGCCGTTGAGCATGGAGACTAATCTGACTGGCGTGGTACGAAAGCTCACATGGGCTGAAATTTTCAGGTGTGAAGAGGACAAATGTGGAGATAGAACTAGCACCTCTAGAATCCTGGAGCCATCTTCTAAAGATAAAGAAAATCATTTACTTGTTAAAGATTCAAATTTCCTAGCTCTGGTCCCTTTTCAAGCGATGATTTTTGTAAGGAATCTAAAAAATTCCATTTATTCGGGGAGGAAGGCTTTGATTTAGGGATGGACTCGGGACGGGTCAACCGGCCCGAAACCGGACCGGCCTGGTTCGGGCCACCTGGCCCGGTGGGTTTCGGTTCCAGGCTCGAGCCCTCCATTTGGTGAACCGGCCCGGCCGGTTCGGGCCCAGTCCAGGCCGATTTTTTTTTTTTTAATTTTTTGGGTTGGGACCCGGATCCCGGTGGCTATCGGTTCGGGCTTAGGCCCGGTTCGGGCCCGGTTCGGGCCTGGGCCCAGCCAGTTCACGGTTCTGTTTTGTTGGGCCCGAGGCCGAACCGGTAGCCACCGGTTCCGGGCTGGGCCGGGCCGGTTCACCAAATGGAGGGCTCGAGCCCGAAACCGAAACCCACCAGGCCGGGTGGCCCGAACCTGGCACTAACTGATTCATCGGGCCGGTCCAGTTCTGGGGCGGTTGGCCCGGCCCAAGTCCATCCCTAGGTTTAATGCTGCACCAGAAGTGGAGTCACTTGAGCCTTCGCAATCAGTTCATAATATTGTAGTGGAATTTCTTTTTTTAAGGAGGCTTTATCGATTGGTAAAATTTTAGTCCGAATTAGTTTACTAGTTACACCACCCGGGCATTGCACGGGAGTAAAGCAGTTACATACGTATTTAGATAAATTATGTAAGAAGTTAGGGAAAAGTTGACAGGAATCAATTAATTAAAAATAAAATTCATGTGCTTGAGGAATCCAGCATGATCGGGAAGTGGTGTAGCAGAGAAATGGCAAAGGCAATGCTGAACCGAGTAGCGCAAATTCTAAAGGGTCTTTTGTTTCCTTAATTTGTGATCAATGGTGGCCTAATGCCTAGGTGGATCTATGCAATGATCTCCAGAAGAAGAAAAAAAACATTTCTTCTTATAATTTCATCCCATGCAATATGATATTAGGTGGATCTAAGCTTCTAGTTCACATTGGAGTGTTGTCTTGGCTTGTATTTGCAGCAATTTCTCTTTTGCACACCAAATTTTGTGTTTTAACATCAATGATGTATGTCATGGATGTTGTAGCATACCAATTCGATTCTCAATGTTCAAAGTGATTCTTCAAAACACAATTTTATGCTAAGCTACAACAAATGGAGGAAACCAAGATTATTGGCCCATCTTTATGCAAATAGAAATACATGTGGATTTAACAGGGAAAAAAAGCTAAAAAAACAACGAAGTGCACAAACAAATGTCAGCTGATATGTATTCCCAGTAAGCTTACACTACTCAAAATATTACTACGTATATACAAACTCACATATTAGCTTTTAACCTTTTTCGATGAGTTACCCAGCCGTACAGCCGTGCTTAACATTACAAACACAATGTGTGTATATAAGTTTTTGCACACTGATCAAATATGATATACGTACAAACCCAATATAATATAGTGAGGTTAACCTTTTTTATAGTTAACTTATATGATACACAAATATACACAGAAATGTATTCCCAGTAAGCTCACGAGTCACGAGGCTTTGATTCTTCTATCCACAAATATGAAGTTAGAATGAAGCCGTTATTTCATAATTCACATCTTAAATTGGTAAAACTTCACTTGCTAATGAACTTCTTAGACTACATAATTTACTATAAGCCATTGTGCATCATACGATTATCCTTATTCTGAACTATAAGAAGCAGTCAATTAAGTAGATAAATAATTATGCTCTCATAGAGCCTGCTCTATAAATCTAGAATAAACTGGGATATTTGAAATACCAACAATAAAAACTAAGTGCATCAAGGTTAAGTTAAAACCTTGAGTTGCAACTAAATGACATAATATTGAAATAATATCATGGTATCTACTTGTTCAAAGCGGCATAATAACCAAAATCACGCAACAGCGCAAATCCCAAGCATCTAAGTGCATAGAAGCATAAAATAAATAACTTCCTGAACAAAACAGAACAAAAAAAATATATACTGAAAGCACTCTATTTATATTAGAAATAGGACTCTATAATAAGTCTATCTCTCGGAGAAACACAAGATGAAGTTGTCTGGCTTGAAGTACAATTGGTGGTTTGCCTTGAAGCCAAATACCTATGTGTGTTCATAATTCATTCTTAATTTAAATATAAATCATAATTTGAACACATACAGTTAAGTTACGAAGAACAAAGAAAACGATCATTACCGGTAGCGGAAATCCTCAATATTTGGAATATGATCATCCAAAAATAACCTTGTAGCATACCGTGAGGAAGCAATTCCAATCTTATCCCCTACATGTCAAAAATGCATACTTTAATGAGAATAAACAAACATTATTGTAATTTTAAAGTAACAAATAGTTATACACACAGACGCACCATATCTTTGGTTTCTGCGGCACGACTGGAGAAGAAATATAACTGGATCTTTTAAAGCAGCATCTTTTGAAGTAGGAGACAAAAAAATTCTCAACTTGAAGGACATAATCACTGAGACAGTACATAACACACTCTCGCCCCTTCATAATATTACATTCAGAGCGTAAATATAGCAAGAAATTTAAATATTATGATAAATAATTCATGTATAATAGGCAAGTGATAATTTAAAGGAAACCTAACTCCAAGTTTTTTAGGCGGAAATCAGCATACCAATCACCTTTTTTGGTTTTTGCTGTATAAAAGTTAGATCCAGATCATAAGCACAAATAATATCTGCATTCATTTGATTTAACAATATCAACTATAGTGCCTTTAAGTAAATTTCAGGTGCAGATTAATCTGAAGCACACAAAAGCACAACTGCATATAATTATTGGGCGTGTTTTAATTGAAAAAAGTACCTATCAAATAGGGATCTTGACTGCTTTCTGGGTTCTGAATATCCGCGAAGCTAGAAATTTATGAACCTAGATGGTGGAAAACTAAGACCGATTGTTTGTTCTCGATGCAGATATTTGGTGAATGGAGTAAACTCAAAGCGGTATGGATGACCAGTGACCCTATATCTTCCTTCGTTATTCTTCACATCTGGGTGCGCGATAGCATAAATTAATCCTTCTTGAACATATTCGAATTTACGAATAAGTTCAATTGGGATTGTCGCTTGAATTGTCGCACTCTAGTAAGAGCATTAATAATGAATTAGTACTTTAAATTACCTTCAAAACTATGAAGAAGTAAGCAAATTAAGATTAAAATGAGTAAAGTTAAAAGGTGAAACAAAAACTGCATGATAAATCAGTAAGAGTGCATGTAAAAATTGTAAAGGTTCAGAGTTAATTAATAAAATGCTGAAAACAGTTTGACAATTCATCTCGGAATTCTCAAGTAATGTTAGTATTGTTACTCTTTTTTTTTAACAAAACTCCCACATTATCAGAATTAAGCAAAATAGATAAAATCGGCACAATTTTTGGATGAGTTTAGGCCATATGATTCAGCAGCTTAATGGCTTTTATTCTGATGGGTAATGTTGCTCAGTTGGTAGGTTAGCACAATTTTTTTATTCTGAAACAATTCAGTTCATACTTTTTGGCAATTTGCAATTTTTTTTTTACTTCGAGTTATTGTTGCTACTTTGTTTATAGGTGAGGTAGACTAAAAAATAAAGTAGAAAAGGATGATTCGGTAACCTTTTCATCCATGAAAATCATTTCAACGGATTTGGTTGTTGGATTTTTTGATCTAAACTTCTCGTTCCATTTTCTGATGACCATCACCATAAAAGCAGTAACCTTTGGTAAGGTCGGAACAACATCTTTCAGATACTTTTTTGTAGGTGCCATTGTTCCTAAAAATGAAGTGGTTGAGACAGATAAAGACAGAGTATAAATTACTAAAGAACAATTTCAGTAACACTGGGTAAATAAAATTTAACATCTACAATAATTACACATTAATATGGATTCAATTAACTGAATAAATTAAATATAAGTACCAGAAAATATTTTTGAATCCACTCATCGCAGGTTATTTGTTCAAAATTTAGCAACACAAATAGCCATAAGATCTGCTTTCATGTTTTACAAAATTATTGTTTTAGAAAAATATAATTAATATAACACATAAACAAACTTGTTTTACACCAATGTGTACTATCCTTTAGCTTTATATACACCAATAAAGAAATCACAGTAATATAGTTTTTGTTGAGAAGAATCAGTTTTTGTTATATATATTCACCCAATGTGTAATTCTTCTTATATTGCAATTCCTTGTGAACCAAAAATCATTTTTTTTTCTTAAACATATCACTCACTCAATCTATATTCTTATTTTATTTATTTTACTTTGTATTGTAATTAAAAGAAAAGATACGCAGTTGTTTACATAAATTAATATAATAACTACTTACTTTGTAATTGTCGAAAATAAGAGCAAAAACGGAAGAACAAAATCAGCTGAGGCGTAGCACGCTGCAAGCGTTAGGCGATCAGAATAGGTGTTTATATAGATGATAAGATTGGTCGAAAAAATCTATTAGAAATAGGACTCTATAATAAGTCTATCTCACGTTAGTCTCCAAGTAGAGATATACTCGTACTCGGTAATAGCAATTCTATTTATTATGGGGAAGCTCTATCATAAATAAGTATTACAATTTAACAGTTTTTTTATCAATTTATATAAATGCCATCATTATTACTGACAGGCCATCATCAATTAGTAACTCATAAATCACAAAAAAAAACGTGATTAACATAAACTGATCATTAAAGAGCAATTTTAGTTAAACTGTGTGACTAATTTTCGTAGTGCCTTTAAAAAATTACCATCAAGAAAGAGGAATTTAAAAGAGGGATTTTAGTTGTACTGGGTAACTAACTCAGGGCATCTCTACCATTAGTTATTAAAATCCAGGTAGTTAAAATATATACAATAATCAGTCATTAATTTTTTAAGAAGAAATTAAATAGCTAATGATAAATATCAGAATTTAAATGTGAAACAAAAGAGAAGAGATGTTACATATATAAATCTAAAATTGAAAAAGAGGAAAAGAGGAATTTTAGTTACAATGGGAATCTACATTTTAAAATTTCTATTATTAATTATTAAAAATTATAGTAGTTTACCTATATTAGAATAATCAGTAATCATTAATTATTTTCCCAAAAAAAGTAATTATTAATTAATTAACTGCAGCTCGGCCATCATTTTAGATTAAAAAAACATTCTAAATACATTAAAAGAGCAATAAATTACATCTCACATTAAAGCATCAAACAAATGTGAAAATCACAAAATAAAGAAAGGGTAGCTCCACCTGGCGATCTGCTACAAAATTCAAGATGCCGTGTAATCATCATAAATGTAGAATCTCAAATACCTATCATTTTTTGGGCTCTTCCTGATATCCTTGCACAGACTACACAACAATAAAAGCTTTACATTAGCAACTATTGACCGATAAGTATGTATATGTAGTATTTATTTGTATTACACAATGATGATGATCCTGATGATGATTATATACTACATAAATTATGATTTAGGTGTTTTCTTTTTGTAGACCAAATGCTTTAGGTATAGACTATAGACCAAATGTTTACCTACGAAATGAGGAATACACAGAATGTCTTTAAAGCAAAATACACACTGTTTATTTTAAAATGAATACATGATCCTTGAATAAGGAAATAGTAATGGGAGCTTGATCAAATACTGATACATGATACGGGTAGGTTGATCATATATATATGAGCATAAATAAACTAACAACTAACACTGCAATGTAAAAATATTGTGTGGTCATCAATGATTCAAATAATGTATGAACAAATAACAAATAATTCCATCAAAGAGTAAGTGATCATACCTGCGGGAAAGTAGTGAACAAATAACAAATTATTGCTACAATTGCATTTTCCATGTATGGTGATAACGGACATACATCACTGCTATCCATATCAGTCTGCATACAAAAGAACATGATAATAAGACGATAACATCACTACTTTTATGATTAACAAAAACATCGAAATGAGAAGCATATGAGCAGCAAACCGAGAACACCAGGGGCAAGTGAGAGCCATAGTGCAAGGGTATTTCTTGTCAAAGTATGAACTGAGAGCCATTTCAGTCTACAAAATAAGTTCATATGTAAAACTGTTTTGATATACCACAAGCTGTAACTAAAAATGGCAAGGAGAAGTTTGAAATGGAAAAGCTTAGCTCAGGGAAAAGGACCGATTGCTCTTTGTGGGTGCTATACCGAGGCCTGAGGTGTGAGGCACCTATGGCTTCGAACTGCGAGGGTGATTTTATGAATCTCCAACAAACAATACTTTTAGATATGTCCCTGATCAAGTTCAAAATCTGAAAAAGCACATATAAATTGATCTACTTTCTTTTACATTTTTCATTCATCTTTTTTTGTTTTTAATTTTTTTGCTCCCAGCAAGAGTCCTATCAATGTGAACAGTTGAAAAAACAAATAGAAATAAAAGTAGACTTACCTTATTTTTCGATAGAAACGCAAAAAAATTAGGGTTCATCATTTTAAATTCCTTACAATAATTGACCAAACATCATGGAATCTGCAAATTAAAAGAATGCATAGATTAATTATAGCAGATGTGCTACTCAGATGCTTGGTATATCATGAGAGGCAATTCCAGAAAAGCATTTCAAAGCTTTACTGGAGCGATTTCAGTCTACAAAATAAGTTCATATCTAAAACTATTTTGGGCGTACCACAAGCTGTAACTAAAAAAGGCAAGGAGAAGTTTGAAACTAAAAAAGGCAAGGAGAAGTTTGAAATGGAAAGGCTTAGATCAGGAAAAAGGACCGATTGCTCTTTGTGGGAGCTATATCGAGGCCTGAGGTATGAGGCACTGATGGCTTCGAACTGCGAGAGAGATTTTCCCTTCTATTGCGGCTGTGACAGGCAGAAGATGCTTGTCCATCTCTTCAATTGCAGCAACAATCGCCAATCTGAATGTGGATCGGAGTGTGGAAGCCAGAAGAAGTAAAAGAATAAATCTTCCATGGAAATTGCAAGAGGTGTTTGGTGTTTCCGGTGGTACTTGAAATTGGAGTGTGCCCTCCGGCTGAACACGAGAACAGAAGGCAGAAGGAGAGAATTAGGAGCGTAGTGTTAGGCAGAAGAGAAATAGGGCGATTAACAAACGTCAGAAGAGAACGATAAGGTGTTTGAGAAGAAGAAATTAAGCAAGGGAAGGAGCTTACCTCTGAATCGCAGCACAGATGAGCGAGATACCTTCAGAAATGGAGAAGCTGTTCGGCCAGAAGAAAAAGAAGCTGTTAGGCAGAAGAGAAATAGGGCGATTAACAAACGTCAGAAGAGAACGATAAGGTGTTTGAGAAAAAGAAATTAAGCAAGGGAAGGTGCTTGCCTCTGAATCGCAGAACAGATATCTTCTCAAGCAGCAAGACGTCAAAAGAAGAGAGCGATTATTTTTTACGGCCTGTTGTATGGTAAGCGTTGACAGGGACCCCGAACCCGGAAGGGAAGGTAAAATAATACGGAGTAGTTTTTTTAAGGATTTATTTGAATAATAATTATTATATATAGAAATAATAGTGGATGTAAAATAATAGGTATATTTGAAAATAGGTATAATTATTATATATTTGAAAATACTTTCGTAATAAACCATACAAAAAAAATTAAAAAAACATATGTTTATATTTTGATTTGCTCACAATCTGCATGAGTCAACTCACTTAACATGCAACCCGTGCAAGTTGACTCACGGAACCAGTGAGTTCATTGGGTAAAAAAGTGACAACTCTTACCCACCGTGAAATGGGTTGAAATGGTTAGCCCTAGGGATTTCGACTCATTTTGACAAATCTATCCACAATCAAGTCAATTTTCTTTTAAACTCTGATTGACAAATTCACATACAATTCATTTGTCTTACAATTTTAATAAAAACTTTAAGTGCATATTTTGCCGTGCGGTGCACGGGTACACATACTAATACTATATACTCCCTAGTATATACTATATACCCTCACGAAATCCATATTATGGACTTCAATGAGAAGCGCGCATTAGTTTAATTAATGGACTTGTTGGTTAAACGAAACATCATTACAACGCACTTTTTTTATTGAACCAAAGTTTTTGAAATATTTCTAGGCACAATTCAACTGATAAAGAATGGCGTATACTCAGTGAGGAACCAGAACTATTTTTGAGGGGTTGCTGGAAAATACAGAGAAAGAAAAAATATAACTTGAACTAAATTAAATCGGGTTTGATCCGGTATATTCAATTTTGATCTGATTTGATTTGGTCTGTTCTGGATAGGGGTGGGGAAAAATACCAAAACTTCGGTATACCGGACTTATCATATCGAAAAATATCGAATTTACCGAAATATTAGGTATACCACCCTTTTGGTACAGTATGATACCGTACTGAATTACTTCGGTATGGTATCGGTATATATTTTGGAAATAAACGGTTTACCGTATACCGTCATACCGTAATTCCAAGCCAATATTTTCCTTAAAATTGTAAAAATAACTATAAAGTAGAAACATAACACTAATCGAAGGGTAAATCACTTTATATCCATGTTTCTTGAATTATTTATACTTTTTAATGGAGATTGGTGTTATTTTAAATATATTTATGTTGTCCAAATTGTTTTGGCAGAATGTGTTGTTATCTTCATATATCATATGTTGAAATATCTATACATATTTATAATGTTGTTTGTTCAAAGTTGAATAGAACACAAATGGGTTATCTCATTGGCATTTTATAATTAATTTCATTAATGATTTTAGTATATCACTATTAACACTGCTTTTCTTTATTTTATTTGACATATACGGAGTAATAATTTGTTATATTAAATAATGATAATTTACCGATACCGTACCTTACCATACCGAAATTTCGGTGTACCGAAACAAGTATGTATATTTGTATATACTTCATTTGGTAACAGTATGTATATTTGCATATCGAAAGTTTACGGTATATGGTAAAGATATGTGATAAAATATGCGGTATGTCGTACCGAACCACCCCTAATTCTAGAACAATAAGTCCATATCATTTCCAAATGAAGTATAGTGTACCGTTGTTCTCTAACATATAGTTCAGAAAATATATTTGTAACTTCTCTAAAAAAAAAATATGAAAGCTCAAAAGAAGTAAATTACTTCTTTCGTCCCGCAAAGAATCTAACATTTTCTCATTTTACCTTTTCAATTTATCCCACTAAAATTGTCTCATACCAAATTTGGTAAAATTTGTGTGGTTCTAAATTATTCTTACATTATTCATTAAATATCAAGCATATAAACCACTTTTTATTGATTTATATGTCACTCTCATTTGCCCTATGGTTAGTGACGTGGGACGAAGGCGTAACTATTAACAAATCAACTACTCTCTTCGAACACGATCTTTAAAAACAATCAAGACCAAAAATAGATTTTCATATCCTAAATTAGCCATTTCATATCATTTGAATTTGAATTACACGACAAAAAAATATCGCTGCACTATCAAAATATCTAGTAGGTAATACAAATTTTAAACTAATTAAGTATCATTGTCACCGTAATATAGTAAATATTCAAAATAAAAACAAAAAACAAAATTTTGAATTAGTTAACAAAATATCTAACCACAAATATATAAATAAATAGCACACAACTACAAAAATCAAACAACACCAACTTTGAAATGTAGAAATTAGACATCATAATCCATAAAGCAAAATGGCTCACTAAATCCTTTTTTTTTATAATGCCTTCATGCCTTATGGCTAGCCGGACTAGCGGAAGAATAATCGAAATAGTCATTGATTTATTTGAATTATTTCATACTTTTGAACTTCCTCACCGTTGCCATTTTCAATAGCCTTTTAATTTATTTTAATCTTTTCGAATATGCTCCGTATATTGTATGGCTCCGTTAGTTACTTTATGGAGTTTAAATTGACGGAGGGGTATATTTATACCGAAAATGTTGTTTTGATAGTTTTTTGTGCTAAAATAAAGATGAAGGGTATAAGTGCTCACTAAGGTATAATGAGAGGGTATATTTGTACCTTAACCCATTTTCATATCCTAAATTAGCCATTTCATATCATTTGAATTTGAATTACACGACAATATTTTTCCTACTATTTCTATATGGAGTATTAGAAGTGTCACTGCGCAGTGTGTATTGAAAATTGATCACGTGTGTATGACTTTACAAATCACAAATAACAAAATCATACTATCATTACACACAAATTCACTGATTTCCATTCAAGTAACCAAATCAATTAGGATGTTTTTACTTGGACTATAATTTGTCTCAGATCAGACCTGAATAGTTATAAATATACAAAGAAACCAGACCCGACCAGACCAAACCAATCCAGTTCAGACCAGACTAGCAAATTACAGTCTAAGTAAAAACATCCTTAGACCATTAGTCCTCATAATATAAATGGCCTTACTAGCTAGTTGCAACACATTATTTATGCACCATAGTATATTTTAGGGATAATTTGACTTTGTACCCCATATTTTGAGTGATATTTGACTTTGCATCCCATTTTCAAAATCATTAATGTATGCACCCCATCAACCCAAAAAATGTGAAGGAATAGGGTGCAAACTCAAATGATTTTATATTGAATTGAGGTGCATACATTAATGATTTTGAAAATGGGGTGCAAAGTCAAATAACACTCAAAACATGGGGTGCAAAGTCAAATTCCCTGTATTTTAATTAACTAAAGTAAAATATACACTCAGCGGCAAATTAATCAAAGGTAAAATGGCCCCGCTGACATATTTTTCTGCATACTCATTACGCCATACTTCGTATATCACATGTCATGATGTCAAATCCAAATTTCTTAAAATGAAAAGCAAAAACTATTATACTATACTTCGTACTACGTATAACGTAAAAGATTTTGAATGAAAAAAACACTCTGTTTTTTTCAGAGAAGAGAACGATGACCAAAACAAAAACTACTTCAGAACAAATACTAGAAGCCGAATGGCGAATGGAGATGGTTGTGGCGCGAAGTACTCTGGTGCTACAGATCCAGCAACTTATAAAGAATGGCTTGTACTGAACAAATCTAAGCCCGAACTATGCCCACCACTAATATGCAAAGAAAACAAGACCAAACAAAAATCAGCATTTAACATATAGAATCTGAAAAACAAACACAGAATGTATAGGAAGTTAAGAACACTCAATATCCAGTCAAAATTCTTTGCAAGAAACAAAACTACTACAACATCGTAAATAATTGATCATATTAATTCATGAAAGCAGAGGAAGATATTCTAGCATTCTTTAAGAACAAATCTGAGCCCGAACTATGCCCACCACTAATATGCAAAGAAAACAAGACCAAACAAAAATCAGCATTTAACAGATAGAATCTGAAAAACAAACACAGAATGTATAGGAAGTTAAGAACACTCAATATCCAGTCAAAATTCTTTGCAAGAAACAAAACTACTACAACATCGTAAATAATTGATCATATTAATTCATGAAAGCAGAGGAAGATATTCTAGCATTCTTTAAGAACAAATCTGAGCCCGAACTATGCCCACCACTAATATGCAAAGAAAACAAGACCAAACAAAAATCAGCATTTAACAGATAGAATCTGAAAAACAAACACAGAATGTATAGGAAGTTAAAAACACTCAATATCCAGTCAAATTCTTTGCAAGAAACAAAACTACTACAACATCGTAAATAATTGATCATATAAATTAATGAAAGCAGAGGAAGATATTCTAGCATTCTTTAAGAACAAATCTGAGCCTGAACCATGCCCACCACTAATATGCAAAGAAAACAAGACCAAACAAAAATCAGCATTTAACAGATAGAATCTGAAAAACAAACACAGAATGTATAGGAAGTTAAGAACACTCATATCCAGTCAAAATTCTTTGCAAGAAAAAGAACTACTACAGCATCGTAAATAATTGATTATATAAATTCATGAAAGCAGAGGAAGATATTCTAGCATTCTTTAAGAACAAATCTGAGCCCGAACTATGCCCACCACTAATATGCAAAGAAAACAAGACCAAACAAAAATCAGCATCTAACAGATAGAATCTGAAAAACAAACACAGAATGTATAGGAAGTTAAGAACACTCAATATCCCGTCAAAATTCTTTGCAAGAAAAAAAACTACTACAACATCATAAATAATTGATCATATAAATCTGGAAATTAAAGCAAGTAAACTAAAAAAGCATTACCTCAGCGATGCTCTTTATGGTCGTGATCCCCGATTGGACATCCTTCACACACTTCAGAATCTCAAGAATTTGTTTTCGTCCTTCTGCTGTGGTAGAAAAGCAGAGAGATGCGAAGAGGGCAGCTCCGCACAAAGCCCCTCCACATAGCGCCAGCCCAGGCGGTGTGGCGGCGGCGGGTGGGGAGGATGCTGCGGCACTGGATGCGCTGTCATGTTGGCTGGTGGTTAGGGAGGCCAAACCCATATCTTTCTTTGTTTCCTCCGGTCCGGCATAATAACAGCGCCCGTGTCTAATGACTTGAATGAGTTGATTTTCATCTTGTTTGAATGTTTCGTAGTCTATGTTAGTCCAAATTTCATTCCTGGGAGAGGGAGGCAGTTCCTGTTCGTGCATAGTTGCCAAAACTATGCGACCATTTCTTTTAATAACATCAAAAGTGGACTGCTTCAGCACCTCTAACTTCATCTGAATTTCAAATTCAACAATATTAATGAACTTAATTCTTACACAAGAAGAAAAGAAAAACCCTAACCAGAATAAAAGTTTCACAGAACATTAACGATCAACAAAATTCTTACAGTGTTTTGACAACTGCTGCGCAATATAGGAACAGGAAATGTTTCAACGGCGGAAATGTTTCAACGGCTGCGACGACGAAAAACCCTAACAAGAAGAAAAGAAAAGTTCACAATGTGGATCTTGAACGATAAAGTTCAGAGAACATTAACGATCAGCGAAATTCTTACACTCTTTCGTCCAACTCCTGAGCTAGATATCGATGAACACGAAATGTTTGAAAACACCGAACAAGAAGAAAAGAAATGTACAGAGTGTGGATCGATAAAAGTTTCAGACGTAGAATGTGGATGTTAGATAGTTTTTTTCTACCCAGCCATTCTACTCTATTTCTGGGATGCGCGCTATTATGGACTAGCTTGGTCCGCAGGAACATTGCTTGGGTCTATTGAGAGTAAATGGTCAATTTTGTCCTCCAAGTTGCATAAAATGGGTCAAATAAGTCCTTATATAGGAGGTTCTATCCGGCAGTCGCCTATTTGGGGCGGTTCCCGGTGAAATTTTTTGATGAAATTTGTTGAGCATCTTATTCATTAAGTCTAGTTCACTCATACCAAATTTCAGATAAAAATTCAACCAGGAAGACATTCAAATGAATTCTTGAAGATAACTGTGCAGTTCAAAACGCTTTTATCTTCAATAACTCATTTGAATGTCTTCCCGATTGAATTTTTAGCTTAAATTTGGTATGCGTAAACTAGACTTAATGAATAAGATGATCAATTTTTTTTTAAAAAAAAATCCACCGAGAACCGCCTCAAATGACACGTCCGGACAGAATCTTCTATATAAGAACTTATTTGAACCCTTTTATGCAACTTTGAGGACCAAACTGACCCTTTACTCGTCTATTGACATGGGTCCCAACTGTTAGCCCACTGCAGGAACATTGCTTGGTCCGCAGGGATGCGTGCTATGGACTCGCTGGTTTTGCCCCTTGGTCTTCGCCAACTCTTTGGCGGTAAATTAAACCGTACACCCGAGTATTTTCGCAATTAATTACAACTTCAATGTTTAAGGTCTTCCCTGTTTTGCTGATCGTTGATGTCCTGGAATCGGTGAAAGAGACGCAGACGCCGATCGATGTTGCCCGCTCGCTGAAGTCCAGGAGTTCTGATCGGTGCTCGACTGCTCCTCGCTCGCTGCGCTGATGGAGGAAGTCTTCTCGCTGGAGAAGGACGTACGCTGTGGGCTTGTGTTTTAGTTCCAAGAGAAAGTCTTCCTCCGTACTTTAGTTCTTGGAATCCCACAAATTTCAACTTCTATTTTAATAATAACGTATTTTAATATATTTTAAAATTGTACGTTAATATTTTCAACTTATTAATTAAACATAAGTTTTATGTTATATATTGAAAAAGAGTACAATGTTTATAATAAATGTGTACAACGGTTAAAAGATTTGAACATACATAATTGAATATTTGAGCACGTTAAAAAAATTAAATGAGCATACACAAATGAAAATTTGAGCATACTAGACAGGTCAAATGAGGTACACAAATGAAAACTTGAGCGTATTGTTGATTTTAAATGTGCTTTTTGAATTCTTGGTTGCTCATTTCATAAGTAATGTATGCTCATTTGGTAGTAGTACAATGCTCATTTTAAAATGTTGCACATTTCAAACGTATCATATTATATTATCTTAAACTCAAAGAGAATAAAGCCAAAAATGAATGAGCATACACAAATGTGGTTTTGCTCATTTTGTAAGTTATGTGTGCTTATATTATGTGTGCACGTTTCAAACATATCATATTAAATTAGAATCACATATTAAAATTAATTGGAATTGATTAAAGACATTATTTTAGAATTTTTATAAACGAAAAAATAATAAAAAGAAAATGAATTAGAATATATGAAGCAGAATATATGAAGCAGAGAACACGGATGCTCATTCTTGGAATCCTGATACTCAAAAGAACAGACTTGATGCTCAACACAATTGTGTTAATGGTCATTCAAGAGAAGTCATATTTTTCATCAAAATTGCAAAAATGCCACCGGCTGTACGACTGGCACCGTACAACCGGTGGTATAGTATACGCACTCCTCTTTGGCCGGCTGAAATAAAAAAACATATTTTAAAAAAATAAAAAAAAATATTTATTTCAACAAGTACATACTACTACATGGTATTACAATTAAAAAATAATTACATAGTAATGTACTACGTAGTAAATAACACAATAATGCATATAGTAGTACATAGTTTAATTTGATTGGAAACTGTATTTTATTTTAAATTAAGCTTAAGCTCATATGTGTATTTTAACATTTACACACACAAAACAATTATTTTGTGTATTTTAAATCCAAATGTTTAATTTTTTAAATTATAATTATTTGTAAAAACAAATTATTACATATATTTATATGTGATAATAAAAGTAAAGATTTATACATTTATTTAAAAAAAACGGTGTTGGATGAATATATTGACAATGCTGGATCACAGAGAAAATTGATTGACTGAGTGAAAATGTATAAATTGGTGGCAAATTTGATATATTTACAGAGCCGGGTTGCGGGTAGCCTTAGGAGGTAAGGTTTTATTTGATTGAGTTTTAAACATAAAAATTTAAATGTACTACACTACTACGTAGTATTAACTTTTTAATCTCACTCTTGATCAGCACCACGATCGCGGACGTCTCCCTAGGTCTCTAGGGTTTTGTTTCATCTAGCGCCGCTCTTCTATCTCAATCGCAGAGGGAGGGTTCGTGCGCTTGGCAGCGTGATCGATCGATTGAGACTTTTGCTTTTACTGTTGTTTCGACTTTGGTGGAAACAATTGTGCGTTTTTCTTTTTACTTGCAGGAGGCCGAGAGATTTCCCAATTTCTCGATAGGAGAGTTTTGCCCAACAATTCTTGATAGCAAGTTTCGGACTTGGATATCGGGAATGGAGGAGATTGCAAATAAATGCAAGGAATTGATCATCGAGAATCAGGGAGAAGAACTGGTTTTTGAGGATGATGTACTTGAAGAGGAGGAAGACTCGGCCAAACAGGAAGTGTATCCGGTGATAGGGACTGTGATCACAAACAAGATGGTGAGATTCTCAGCGCTTCGTGATCTTATGGCCTCTCTGTGGATGCCGGGTAAGGGGATCTCCATTATGGAAATCGACGACAAAAGGTACATGTTTACATTTTATCACCCTTTAGATGTGAAACGAGTACTTGAAGATGGACCATGGATTTTTAAACAAAATTTGCTAGTTCTCCGGGCACTACAACCCGGGGATGTTCCACTCCGGGTTCCTCTGAATGAGGCCGAATTCTGAATTCATGTTCATGATATTCCTTATGATTTTATGAATTTGGGGGTGGCTAGGAGAATTGGAAAATTTGTCGGAAAATTTGTCAAATGGGAAAAACCTCAGCTTGATAAAAAATGGAAGCCGTATATGAGAGTTCGGACTTGCTTGGATATTGGAAAACCCCTTAAGATTGGAACCACGCTCAGGAAGGGACAGGGTGAAGGACACTGGGTTGACTTTAAATACGAGAAGTTTCCTAGTTTCTGTTTTTCTTGTGGTATTATAGGACATTCTGACAGTTATTGCCCTCTACCCTATGAGAAGGAGGATTCTGACACCACTAGGCCGTATGGTGTCGGCCTGTGAGCTGGAGGAGGTGGGAAAGCACGTTTGGAGGGAGGAAACAAGTGGATCATCTCGGAAGGGCCTAGGAAGGATAGTAGGGCAGTAGGAGGATAGGGGGGCATCTCAGGTCCGAACAAGAAGGGTTGGAATCATATTTCAGGTAGCAACCAAAAGAGCGGAAGAGAGGAAGCAGAAGTTGCAACCATGGAGGATAAGAGTGGAGAGCCAAAACGTAGGCGGACTTGGGAAGAGACAGGCGGAGCAGCGGTCGAGGGTGAGACTATTGTGCTGGATCCAAAAAACGGGGAGAAGGCATGTTCAGACGCTCGCCAGACTTTTTGAAGAAGGGTTCAGCTGGGAGCGGGTGCTGGTGCTCGTTCCTTTGCCTCAAGATTCTTTATAATTTCCACGCGTTTTTTATTTTCGAGTTTACTTTTTGCTCTTAGTTTGATTCTTTATAATTTCCACGCGTTTTTTATTTTCGAGTTTACTTTTTGCTCTCAGTTATTGTTCCTTTCAATTACTGTTGTTTTATGTTTCCAGAGTGTTACACTTGGTGGGGGTGATGAGGTATTTACTCTGGCCACATTTGGCTCATGTAAACCCATGATAGGATCAGCGAATCATATTGCTTTTCTTAAGGTGATTGATTCTTCAACTGGTTTGAGGGTTGGTGGTCAGAAGTGTTTACTTTGTCATGATTGTCCCGTGCTGAGTGTTTTATTATCAATATAAGCCTCCCAGTTACAAAAAATATCTCACTCTTGGGTCTACCTGGATAAATTTGTGATATTAACCAAGATTGCAATTCGAGTATCTAGATTAGTCAAGATATTTACGGAATTGGGTAAGTTTTAGATACTTGTTTCGAATTTTCATATATCAGTATCGACTTTTAAAAAATGGAACACTGAAAGCACGTATGTGTAAGAAGTTAAGAACTAAGAATCATTTGTTTTTGGCAAACTAAGAATCAATTTATTAAAAAAAATCGTTATACACATTAACACACGCAAATTATACCGTGGGATCGGTACACCATACACATGTGTACCGACCCCAAAACTACGTAGTATTGTTAATTAAAAAAAGCAAGAAACCCTGGTCAATTAAAATTTGCTGCCGACTTAAGGTGACCAGAGGCCAATGTGATGCTGCAGAGATTTCTTTGTCCATGCTTATTATGTTAGCCGAGGATTCAGGGAAAGAGTTGCAGTACTTTCTCTTACTGATGCAACGAATTGGGAGATTAAAGATTCTGAAAATTTGACATAATCTTCCTTCTAATTTAACTCCACTGGTGTACATACAAAGAATACTGCATATATAAGTATATATGGAAAACACGCTTCATTTGACTATGAGAAGATGTTAAACATTAGAACGAGTTAATCTATGTTCTTTAGAGCAGTTCTTTCAAGAACTTATATATTCATTGTGAAAATATATCTCAAGCAAAATGCTCAATTAGTTATTCAAAATTCATGCTCCAGCATGTAGTGTATCTTCAAGGCAGTAGATTAGAAAATTCCTAATTTAGAACACTGTGTTGTCCGACTTTACCTAAAAATCTTCATCAATGTAGAACTTTTTTAATAAAGGTCTTTCCAACCCAAAAAACCAATTCCGCACAACAATATTATTAGTTCAAATTAAGTTATAGTATCACCAAATCGAATTGAATGAACCATATCACCAAATAAAATTAAAGAGCTGGAGATTTCTAATGGAAATACCTTT